AGGGTCGTTTGCCACTGAAATTTGCCTGTATATTTCAAACAACAGGTCTTTGCAAATGGAAAGCCGTATTTCTTGAAGGTTGGGTTGTTAAGGACATCAATGGGAAACCGTGGGAAGCCGGAAACCCGTTTCAGGCTTAAGACACCCCAAACTGCACCACCAAATCTGCCCCAGAGGCTTCAATCGCAAAAAGACCCGCTGTCTATTTGCTTGCTGTTTAAAGTTGCTGCAAGCGGCTCATCCTTCTTCATCAGCATGCCTCAGCACGAACAATTGCCGGTTTGTCTTTGGCTTCCTCGCGGTTTTCTCGGAAAATGATCTGCCGATCTGATCGGACCCCCAAATGCCACGTGATCAAGCAAGCTTCCAGTCGAATTGCTTTGCTCAGGATTCCACCTATCAATTTATTCCTTGGCCTAAATAATAAGAACGAGTTGTGGGGTGCTAAAATGCTGTGCCAGTTGTAGGGTTGCAATCATCCGAGCTGGATTTGTCCATCCACTGTAAATTAAGTTCTCCATCATCACGGGAGAATCATGTGGGATGACTTTATTGGGGAAGCCCCTCAAAAGTGGGTGGTGGACATGAAATCCCCACCTAAATGATGTCCACCAAAGGGTCCTGTTGGACCCAATTAAACTTCCTGCCCATGCATGCGAATGCCTGGTATTAAAAACGAGTCCTCCAAAAAACAAGTTGCTGGTTGTTCGTGTCAAGATGTGGGAGCCTAACCAATCTGGCTTCCTTGTCGTAAAACCAAGGTGGAAAGGGTATCCTCAAAAACACAAACACGCAAGCACAAGCACACACACACACAAACACGCAAACAGGCAAACACCAAAGACCAATCACGCAAAAACACACAGGCACACAGACACTCATAAACAAGCGCAAAGACACAAAGACACAAAGACACAAAGACACACACACACACACACGGACACACACACACACACACACGGCTACAGGGAGCCCTGTTTCCAGGGAACCTTCTCCATTCGTGGCATGATCTGCAAAAAACAATGATTGGAATTCTGAAGCGACCGGGGGTTCCCTGCCATTGGCTCAAGGTACTCACAAATGAAGCATTTGCCTGTCACCACTCCCAAACAACCACCAAGAGCAATACAAAACACCCCTTGAACCAATGGGTCGTTGAGATACTCTGGGCCTTCCTGCTGGATACCCAGAAACCACCGCGACAGTCAGCATCACACTCTCAGGCCAAACGCTGACTATTTGCTGATTGATTGGGATCAAGGCTGGCAATGGACAAACCTTTTGAGTTTCCCCTGACCAAGTATGGACGTGTTCCAAACTTAGGAACCCGATGCTTGGTTCCCTTGCGGCATCCCTTGAACATCATCCAAACATGAGCCGAAACGAAAGGCCAAAATGAACCGGACGACCCCCAAACGCAAGCTGTCCACAAAGCAGCCGTCGGGTGCTTCTGCCCCCCACCTCCATAAGGGGAGTGGCGGAGGGTCCCAATTCTACTTTCTAGTCCCAAAGGGAAAATCAAGTTCATGAAGTTCCAGAAGTCACACCCCCGCCCCCATTCCCTTGGGAGAGCTGGTCGGGCCAAGCGGCTAAAGGGGTTCATGGCCCCGATCATGCCGCTCAGCGCCCCGCCAATTCCGCCGGGGCACTTCGAGGTGCCTTGGCAAGAGGCTATGTTTCCTACTCACTTCCCATCGAGTGGATGCCCCAACACACCTCACCAAGCACTTTTCTCATTATGCTTTTAATTACCACTAAAATGGCGCAAACCCAAAGAGTGACTCAAGTCCAGGAGCTCAGGAAGTGAGTTTCAGTCGGCGCTTCTCTCTTTTGAAGGTGAGTCTTATCCACCCTCCTGTCCACGTTGCCATGGAACCCCCAGAGAAATGGTCCCTTACGGACAATCGTCTCCCACCCCGAAACGTCAGGTTTCATGGCAACGCGGAGGGTATCTAATCTGCTCTTGTCTAGTGGGTTAAATGGAAACCCCCACCAAACCCTAAAAAATATCGTAAAAAGAGAAGCTGAGGAACCGGATGGCTGGGGTTCCCACCAAGTTTGTTCATCTTCGGACAATCCTTCAGTCCCCCCCTCACCAAACCCCCACTGCACACCACTCCACACCACCACCCGCCATAACCAAAGCCCCGAGGCCTCCGAAGCCGCCGCCTCACGCTGCACCCCGCCACCCACGAGCCGAGGCGCAGAGCATGAAGGCGAGGCCTCCCCCCGCGGCGGCGCCGCCCGCCATGGCCATGCCGCTGCTCATCATGGAGGTGGGCTCTTCCACCTGGCGATCGGTTCGATCGGTCCGATGGGGGAGGAATCCCCTCGCTGCATGGGGGGGGTGACGCCCAAAAAACCGCCATTTTGGGTGGGGCGATGTCCACCTGCCGACGACCGACGCCATTTTTTCCACAACTGGCGGTCGGCGCTCGATACGCAACGAGGGAAAATGAACCCGGGGAATGGTCCAAGGAAACCACCAGTTGTTTCTCGTCGGGGAGAAACACCTTAGGGAGCAGGTCCGGCACCTGTGGGTTTTGGATCGAACTGACCCCATGAACTTAACCCCAGGGTGGTGTACTCCCCAAAAGGGCGACCCCTGGGTTTAAGTCTATCTGGGTGTGGCCTTTTTCTAGGGGACCCTCAAAATGCCGGTGTTTTTCTTTTTCCCCTCTTGGTGTGCCTTGTAAAACTTGCCATTAGGAGGGGGTAACACCCCAACAACCGAGGAGATTGCTCACCCATCGGACCGATCCGGTCGTTTCTCTTGCTGCTCAGTTGGCTTCAATCCTCTGGAATACACAACATCCCATTTCTCTTGAGTTCCCATTCGTTTGGCATACTAGGAAACTGGGGTAGCCGGGACTAGTGGGGTAGCTGGGATTAGTTTCCCGCAAGTGGCTTGAACAGAAAAGGAGGGAAACCTAGGGCTGCCCTACGTTACCATGGAAAAAAATATATTACTTAAGAAACTCCCTTCAATGTGGCATTTCAGGCGATGTGTCCTTTTAAAATCTTCAGCTTGGCCCACAGATCCAAAGAAGCCGGAGAAGCTCCGGGGAATCCCAAATCTCGAATGGTTTAACGCCAATCCCGGTGGTGTTTCTTATGCAAACTCTGGGGAAAACTGGGGGAACCCCGAAAAAAGACACGGTGAATTTTGTTGATGGGCCTGCGTTGGGAGGGAAATGCTGGTCGGTTCCATGCAAACTCCACGAAAGGTTCCTGAGATCCTGAGTTTCCTTGTTTTTGGCTTGCTCTTTCCGAGAAGGAGGTTCTCATTCTTGGGAATTGGTACCCTTTCTTGGCACCTCCTTTTGGAAAGTAGATGGTGCAACGACGCTTAACGAAACTGACGTAAGAGGGACTCATGGACCTGCTTTTTCAGCTGGTATTGCTTGACGACCCCGTTTTTGTTTTCTCCGCGGGAATCCCCTCCTGTCAGGGACCTAAACCATTCTTTGACATACCAAAACCCTTTCGTAAGCCATGAGCCATGCGATGGGACGCCTTCAACTCGTGCTCCTTTGGGCATGATTTGCCAACACCGCAATCAACCAACAAGAATATTATTTTCATGGAACACGTGGGTTCCAAAAAGTACCTCCCCTCCCCTATTAAAAAAGAAGAAGAGGATGGTATTGTGAGTTGGGGGGGAATGGTGAAACCCGTGTCAACCCCTTACGCCCTTTTGGCCTTTTCATTTTGCCTGGGCCCGTAGGGCAACTTTTTCAGGGGTATGATCTCAAAGAGCAGAGGGCAGCCCCTACCCCAAGCACCCGCTTGTTTCTTCCGCTTCCCAGTGGTAGTTTCCCATTTACCCTCTACAACAAGTGCAGGGGTGCAAGTCCCCAAGCCAGCAATGCAAACGTCCCTGATTTAAGGCATACCTTGCAGGACAGCTGGTCCATATCTGACACCGATACCTCTTTTGGGCAAATGTCAAGGGGTTCAACATGGTTCTCATGTTTCACAGAGCCAAAGTAAGGGTTCCACAAAGGAGCCTTCCGGGTCGCGAAAGGTTCTGAAGAACACTTGTAAGGTAAGTTGCATACTTCAGAGCCATCGGGCAGCCGGTTCCCGAGTTGCCAACAGGAAACCGCTAGCGTGCAGGCAAAATGCTCAAGTGAGAACTACTCATTGAGTATTGGGTAGAACCACGTAACGTTGATCCCATATTACTCAATCTCTACTAATTAATAGGATTCATCACTTTTGCAGGGGAACACTTCCATATAAACTGGACTTGATTAATATGGGGCCAAACTTAATTAGGGTTTGAACCTACTTAGTCCTACTCAACCTAATTTAAGTAACATGTGTGCTCAACACCTGGTAAAGAAACTAATGTTGACCCGGATTGCTAAACCCCTGGTTGATTGGTTACCTAGACGCAGTGGTTCAGTGACCCTGGCAACAAAAAGGCCCTTTTTGGGGCTTGGACCGGATTTTTAGTGGGGCAGCCACCCAACAAAAAGCTGGAAAAGGAATTGGTGCCACTGAACAACTGAGGTCAACAATAGGTACCCTCACTTAGTAACGTTAGTAAGAGGACTAATGTTGACCCGGTTCATTGGTTACCTAGAGGCAACAATACTAAACCGGACGCCACCTGTGGGAAGCTCTCGTTGCCTGCGTGGACAGGCCGCCCCCGGGGCTCATGACGGTCCTCAGATTCCGAGCTCCGAAAAACCGAAGCGGCTGCATGTGGACCCAGGATTTTTTGAACCCGTCCCATTCTTGGGGGGGTGGAAACCCCTCCAAAAGTGGTCTGAATCCCCCTTTCCTCACTAAAAGGGGGATTCACCCCCCAAGCAAAATCAACCAGGGGTTTAACTTCACCCGGGGTTAAAGCATTTGCCAGACATGAAGGCTCCTTCTTGCCATCATGGCTTCCTTTAGTAACCTTTGCAATGGTTGTCGAATTCCCTAAGGCATATGGCTGTGGTTGTCAAAACCCAGGAAACGCCTGGTGAACATCAACAAATCGCTGGCAAATGGATGTTCATCCACCCCAAAATGGGATCGCCCCATAGGTTATGCCGTTATGCAACCCATGGCCATGTACATTGATCCCAAGTAAAGGGGCCTTTTGACCGTGGCACACATGAGTTTCCAACGAGGACATGGGGCATGTAATAATTTGCCTGGAATTTGTGGGGCACTCCGCGAGTCCTTGCATGCCTCCGAATGGACCATAAACTGCTTGGATAGTTTGACCGAACGTCATATTAGCCCTTATCGTTGCCCACCAGGGTGGTCCTCTTGACACCTAGAGGAAAGTGTTACCACTTTTTGGCCATGGCTTGCAACAAGGTAGCTAACAAGAACCAAACCATATTTCTTCATTGTGCCCTGCCCTTTGACATCGACGCTTGGTGAGTAGCTTGTTGAGTGTGGCCCATGTCATCCCCCTTACTACAGCAAATGAGGGTAAAGATTGACCAGTGCCCATATGATGCCGTTCCAGTAAAGGGCATGGGAAAACTGGGGCTCGTCTTTCTGACGTTTGTGGTTGGAGCTAGCTCGTGATGCCATGCCGCTGCCAGTCACGGTCAAAATTGCGAATGTTTCCCCAAGAAGACATGCAACATTTAGTGATCCCCCTGGATGTTGTGGGAAATTTAGTGAGAGTCGCTGGACCATAGACGGAAAACTTGACCGAACCTCCCAAATGGATCCACAGGGATTTGACCAAACCTAAGCCTTACAAAAGGTTGACGCTTTAGGTTCCCTTCAAACCCAAGGAAGGGCTTTCGAGCCTCACAAAAGACAACGGTCGTCAAATTTCCGCGCCCCCCAACCCCCCCCCCATTGAAAGAGGGGACCTGCCAAAAAAGTGCACCTTTTGCATCCGCGTTGAAGAGCAACCGGAGCACCGGGTTGCCCATACCGCCAGGGCACTTCAGCACTGGCATTGCTGCCATTGCTCCTCCCGGCCTGCAGAGGACACATGGGTTCAATCGGATGCTGACGTGAGTGTCCTCTGCAAGCGCTCGGAACCCGTTTTTCAGTCGAACCCGTGATCCGGGTCTCCGGCAGTATATGTCCCCTACTACCGAGGGAATCTCGGCCCAACAAAAGACGTGATGCTTGAAAACCACCAAAAGGGAACCATAGAAACCCCGACCGGCTGGCACAACGTGCCACTTTCGGATTCTCCCATTGCCGCGCTGCTTTGAAGGGAAGCCCTGTTTTGGCGTTTTACAGCATGGTTGAAAACAAGGGGGCCTGCCCCGTTTTTTGGTGAGGGCAGTTCAACACCCGAGAGTACAACCTCTGCCAGCGTCTCAAACATGACTGAAAGATACCAAGCACTGATCAGGTTCCTTGAAAAAGGCCCCTGGGCGAATCCGCAACCACCAGGAGCTTCCCTGAGAAACCTACGCCAAACCTCGGCGGCTGTGGGTCTCTTTCACCGCGCCTGGATCGGGCCAATTTCCGAAGCCGGCTACATAAGGCAAGGTCGCTGAATTGAGCCAGCTGCGCGCGACGGACGGATTTTTCTCCAATCCGAATCAAGCCATGAAATTAATCTAGGGGTACCTTCCCCATTCTTTCCAGGGATCCTTCTTTCTAGAAAACCTTAAGACTTAAGAAACCCAGGGAAAACAACCGGGTTTTGAAAAGAACGATGGTTCAAAAGAATGGAGAACGTTAGGATTCTGGTCAATTTGACAAGTGCGGCGGCGTTGCTTCTAGTTGCCATGAACCTTGCAACTTGACGCGCGCTACTTTGCGCACTTCACCGATCCTGAGCCCCTAACCACTACACAGCCAGCTTGTAGCCCATTTCCCCCTAGCCGCTTGGGTGCAGTGCGCATGAGGCTTGTAGACCATTTCCCCCTAGCCGCTTGGGTGCAGTTAGTAGAAACCCTTTGGGAAAGAATGTGCTTTACCCTGGTGGCTATGCCCTCCCACAATCCCAAACTAGCCAAGCCAGACATGATTCACATACTGTGAATAAAAAAATACACTTTGCACCAGTTGGTATGCGATTTGTCCCAATATCCGCATGGCTTGAGTCGTCCTAACTGGTGCCGATCGGCGTACGGGGAGCCCTGTTGCGGCCGTTTTTGGATGGACTTTGAAGGGGAAAACGAAACCAACTCTACGATCCAAGCAGCTTGCCCCTTGTCTAATCTCCCAGAGATGCAATATTAGATCTCCAAGTTGTATTTGGCCTGGAATTGGGGGGTCTCCACCGGCTACAGACAAAGAAGACACACCACATGACGCCTAAAGTCCCTAAAGATGGGTGGTTTTCAGGAAAAAGGGTGTCCTCTTTCAGACCCCCCCCCCGGTTTTGGCGCCACGTCTAGCATAAACAGAAGAAGATACGTTTCAGAGTCTCTTCCATATTTAGCCTACCCCGAACTATAAAATATCTTTGCAGGAGAGGCCCCAGAAACAACATATGTTCAGATATTCATAAACTAAACAGAAAATCAAGGCTCTAACAAACACGACCTCTCCAATGCAGACCTTTGGGCCCTACTGTGGACACAGGAAACCATTGCTTGTTTTGGTATTTTTGGGGGGGATCGAATCCTTCCAGGATTGGAGGACAACAGGCCCTCGAGCCCCTCTCCGTGCCTCCTTTCTGGACGGCTTGTGCCTGCATTGGACGAAACCGGAAAATAAAAAGAAGAAGAAAAGAAAACTCATCTTTGGGGGAACCCCCTCGTTGGCTTAAAAGGGAAACCAAAAGGAAACCAACCATTTGAGATTAAGGGTTCCTTTTTTTGAGACAAACCCATGTATCCGCCGACATTTTTCGGCGTGTCGGATACCTGAGAGAGGATAGAGGATAACCCCCTCCCTCCCTTAGTCCCTCCCCGGGACCACGTACCGCGCGGCGATTTGATGACGTTCCACTAAACGTAGTCTTCGGGGAGTGGAAAAACAGGGGTCCCAGGCTCGATTCCCCCTGCCGGCTTTTTGCTGGTTTGGGTTTTCTGCTTGCTTTTGCAGAAAATCTGGGAAAACTCTGTGTTTTTGGATGTCCTCTTTGCGAAAACGCTGGAAACACCGTGTGTGTTTTTGTGGAAAATACTGGGGAGCCAAGGGGAAATGCAAGGAAGTGCAAGGAAAAAATCTGGAAACACTCTGTGTTTTTGGACGCCCTCTTTGCGAAAACGCTGGAAAACAGTGTTTTTTTGCGGGAAATACTGGGGAGCAAAGGGGAAATGAAGGAAGTGCAAGGAAATGAGGGGAGGAAATAGGAAGTCCACATGTCAGGAAAGCAACGGGAAATGAAAGGGAGACAAAGGGGAACTGAAAGGGACATGACAGGGACAGAAATGAAAACGAGGGGAGTGCAGGGGGAATGACAGGGAAACAAAGCGCAATGAAACCAATCGGCACGACGGGAGATGTAGGGAAATGACTCGCAACGAAAGAACGGGACATACATGGAAAATGACACGGACATACCGAGAAAATGTCAGGGACATGAAGGGGGAGTTGAAAGGAATGGAAGGGACATGACCAGGACATCACGGGAAACGTGAAAAGGACATGAAGGGGAAATCAAGGAAAGCCAGTAGTGAGATGACAGTTCAGGGTCATGAAGGGGCAGTGCTTGGATATCGAGGCAACTCAGGGGGGACGTGACGCTGCAATGCAGAGAGAGAGAGAGAGAGAGAGAGAGAGAGACAGGGAGAGAGCGGGAGAGAGAGACAAACGCAGAGAGAGAGAGAGAGAGAGAGAAAGAGAGAGAGAGAGAGAGAAAGAGAGAGACAGAGAAAGAGAGACACAGAAAGACAGAGAGAGAGAGAGAGACAAAGGGAAAGAGCGAGAAAGAGAGAGAGAGAGAGAGAGAGACTAGGTCCTCCAGTAGAGAGGGAAGAATTAGGGTACCCTTTTTCTGTAGAGGGGCGTGGACAGGAAGGAGACAGGCAACAGAAAGAGACAGAGAAACAGAGAGAGAGAGAGAGAGACGGACAGAGAGAGAGAGAGAGAGAGAGAGAGAGAGAGAGAGAGAGAGAGAGAGAGAGAGAGAGAGAGAGAGAGAGAGAGAGAGAGAGAGAGAGAGAGAGAGACAGAGAGAGAGAGACAGAGAGAGGGAGATTCAGGAGGGAGGGGCTTGGGGGGAATGGGGAGGATGGGGAGAAAAGGGAGGGACAGAGGACGACAGAACACACGACAAGGGAGAGAGGAAGAAGGAGAAAAGGGAGAGGACAATGTCGGCGGACTGAGCCGGAGGCTCTAAAGTATGTTTAGGCTGGTTTTCGTGAAATGAGCAATGGCAGCTAACCCACTAACATGTGATTCACTAACTAGTCAATTTACGATTTATCTCTCAAAACATGCACATATATAAGTGTATATATAGGGCGGTTGGCCTCCGCATGTTCATGCAAACGGCCAAACTTACGTGTTTCCCAAAGAGGACATGGGAACACCAGTCTGTATGGTTGACATTTAAGAGCCCGTGTGCATTTCTCCACTGCATGTTTCTCAGTTGGAAACCCTGCGTTTGTTGCCTGAACACATTCCTAAGCGAAAGCTTTACGTGGGACCTACAAAAAAGGGCTTCGGTTTCCCAGATAGACCCGCGCCAACAAAAACGAAGACCGAACCTCACACATACCCGCTGCTCCAAATACCTGCTTGTGTCACGGGTATATGTTGAAACCTGACTAAAAAACTGTTTTTGATGGTATCTACCTCCTTTTTTGGTCAGGGGCTGACCTCATTTGACCTCACCCTGAAAAAAAGTGGGTCTTGGAGGCACTGGCCCCCCTTTTGTCAGCGAGTCAAAGGCCTTGCCACGGGCCGACGCGGCCCATCGGCGCCTCGCGTGGACTTCGGGTTCCGGAGGAGGTACCTGAGCAAAAAGCGCGCTACCCTACCCCCCGTTGGCCGAGGGCCGCAACATGGGGCTAGACAAGCTACCAAGTTACCCGTTTGGTTTCTATCTTTGCGCATTTTGCGAGCTAGCCCCAAGATCATGTTGCTGGCTTAATGCTCAAAGCCTCCAGGCGCTTGGGTACAAAGGTCTGGGTGATTGCTAGATGACTAGCAAAACTACTTACAAGGGTTGGAGAAGCGATTGAGTACGGATTCAGTGGGAGGATAAGCATTCCCCCCACTCACAATGCCATCCTTTTGAAAAAAAGTAAGAGGAAAGTACCTCCTTTTTTAGTCGGGGGTTGACAAAATACCCACAACCAAGTGGGTGTCAAATCATTGTCCGCCCCTGACAAAAACAGGAGGAAATTACCGTGGAACACCGTGCTCTTCAATCCACCCTGAAAGAAGGTTGTATCTGAATTGCAGTGGATGACGAGGTCGTATGAGTTGACGAACCAAAAGGTATCGAATGAGTCTACCTATCTAAACTTTGAGACAAAACCACGGGTGCAACGGGCATCCGAATCCCAACGAGTTGAACCAAAGTGTGTGGCTCAAAAGGTCTCACTGTTGGACCGAAGGGCGCCCTTCAGGCCACAACAGGGTCCGCCATGCATCCCGCCAATAACTAGAGCTTGTCTATGAAGTCTTGGGTCAAAGGCCCGTAGGGTCTGATTTGGATGCACCGTTTGTGGAATTTTGGTGGCCAAGCAAGGGGTACCAACGAAAAGGACAGGCCTCTATGATGTTGTTTTCGGCTTTAGCCTCGAGGATGTGCTCTCAAATCCGGGGCTCCTTCTGGTTAGTTTGTTTGTCTTTGCCTTGAATGCTGACCAAAAGGCAGGCCAAAATCCATTTTGAGAAAGAAACGGGCAAAAGATGGCCCCTTTGTGAACCTACTGCCTCGTGCTGTGCCTCAGTTGGAAACAAAAGGTTTTTCCATTAAATCTACAAAAGCTTGGACCTTCCTTTGAGAGGGGAAGAGCAACCCAGTCTTGACAACCACCCCATGCTCCAGGTTGTTTGCCTATTCTATGGTGAGCCAACCAATTCGAGAATAAAACGGGCTTTGGAATTGTAGCGACATTTGCAGCTGTTGTCCAAACAGTCTGGAACACGTGGCTTAGATGCGGTGAATGGTGGACCCACCCCGGTGGGATGGTCGAAGAGGGGGATCTTCCTTGGGCTCCATCCCCTTGCATGGACTTGTTTCCAAACGGCCTCGTCCAAAGCTTCACGAATGCGCCGAATCCTCTCAATGGGGTCCAAGACCTGGCGAGCCAAAAATGGCTGAGCCTTCCTTTTTGATGTTCGAAGAGGAAATACGGCCGTGAATGGTACTGGTGCCAAAAAAAAACAAAAAATGGTTGGACATAACTCCCGACCTTTGTCTGATGTCCATAGGATCTGGGACCCATAAAGATTCACACCCATTTTGGGCATCTGTCAAACTGGGGAAACCCCCGATGGATTTCGGGTGCCCTTTTGGTGTTGGACCCCATTTGTGAACCACCAGGGATACTGTTGACCCCTGAGTATTCAACCCCCAGTTAACCAGCCGCCAAATGGATACAACACTCACTTGTCCGTCGATAACATGTTTTTTTGGGGCCAGGGCGAATTTAGTGGGTAAGCCACTAAACAGAAAGGGTTTCAAAGGATGATATTGCAAACTTAGCGTGTGGAAACCATTGCAACAACTAATCCCGGACATGTTTTCCCTGCTAAACGCCGAGTAAGTGGATTGTTTCAGAACACATGGCCCTGGCATGTGTCCAAACACAGAATGGACTTTCTTTAGGAAAAGGGCTCCCAAAAAGGGTACCACATAATAAGCCCTATCCGCAACCTGGAACTCCGAACGCAGCTTTGGGCCAAGTAAGCAGGTTCCCTTTTTAGTGGTGATTCCTTTCTTCCAGCGGGACGCCCCTCAGTAAAAACCGGAGGTGTCTCTAAATTACTCGGGGGTCATTCCCCATTCTTTTTAACCATCGTTCTTTTCAAAAACCAGCAGTTTCCCCTGGGGTTCTGATGGTTTTCTAGAAAGAAGGATCCCTGGAAAGAATGGGGAAGTGCGATACTTGGCTGCTATTGGGTTGGAGCTTTTACTTTAACTTTTTGGGAAATCAAGGGGTTTTCCACTACAGCCACAAAAAGTTAAACTTTTTTCTGAGGGTTCAGCAGCAACCAAGGATATTTCCAAGAGCGGAGGGGGGGGGGGGGGGGTTTTGGTTCCCATGCCAAGCCGCACAACTGCCCAAAATTGCCTCGCTAAGGCCTGAGACAATCGCAGAATCGGCCCCCCGAAACACAGGGTTGCGGCTGCTCCCATAGCTTGGCATGGGATGGCCCCCGCATTTCGGGTAACTTCCTCCAAGGGTTTTTTAAAACAGAAATGCCCCTAGAGACCTGTGGTTCATTGGGAAACCCGGGGTTCCAGCAAGGTTTGGCTCCCGAAGCTTGGTGGGAAATGGGCCTCTTGATACCAAAGACCATCCTTATGTCCACACATGGAAACCAAAAGGATGACCACTTCTGGGCAGCGCCACGTTCTGTGATACCGGGAAAGCCTCTCAAGTGATTTCATATGGAGTCTACCCTCAAAAAAGAATCGAGTTGCTTTGGAGAAGCAACTCTCCCCTCCCCTCCCCCCCCCAAAAAAAAAACACAAAACAAGAAGAACCAAAAGCCAAGAAGCTGTTGACCAATTTAGACTTGGACGCTAAGGCTCATGACCCGAAAGGTGGGGCTTCCCAGTGCTCGGTTCGCTCGGCTCGCTCTCTTTCGGCCTGAGGCTCGGGAGTCTCAGCTTGCACCTGCGGCAAGTTGAGTGCCAAAAGTGACCTGGGTGTTGCTCAGAAAAACCGCAGTTGTCTACATACATCTACATACTGTTTGCAACTGTGGATGGACGAAATCCTCGGCACCAAAGAAACCCTGGTTTCTGATGATTCCCCCCGTAGATGCCAACAATGAATGGTCTCTCATGGTTTCGAAGTGATGCAAAAATTGGTCCATCCACAGTATCACACGTACAAATGTTGAACCGTCGTATGTGGCACCCAGGGTTCTCAAAGCTGCTGATTGAATTTTGCGGATAAAGGCCCAACAAAACCGCGGCGTAAATCGACGGATGTTGCTCTGGGTGAATTCAGATTCCCCAAAGTCGCCTTCCCCTAGACCCTTTGATGGATTTCCATGGGACCAGAATGGCATCCGTTGCTTGATGCTTGCCTTACTGCCTGAGCGGATTGGCCAAAAGACGTCTAGATGTCCTGTTTACCAGGGTTTTGCTGTCTGTTTTAGGGGAACGGCGATTTTCCTTGTGGCTTTCGTTACCAACCATTGGGTCGGCCCGAAAAAGAAAACGACATGCCCACCACTCAAATCGGGCTGGATGGAGCCCGAGGCACCAAACATTATGAGCATCCGCCAAACCAAATATGCTCCACCCAGTGCTCACCACAACCAGGGAAACCAGAATGTACACCTAGAGGTAAGAATGCCTGGTTACCTAGCAACAGTACCTTGATTCCATTCCAATTCCATGGAACACTTGGGTTTGGCCGTGTTGTCCCGTCGTCAACCAAGGGACCCCGCCACCCAAATATATTTTGTGGTTTTGGAAACCCTGGAAGTTGAAACAGAATACCCATGTTCCCAAGAGGTCTGGCGAGTTTGGGTTCTCTTTGGACTTGTCTAAAGGGCTTGAAAGAAAAGGTTCAGCTTCCTAAAACTTAACTAGAGCTAATCAACAATCGAGGTCGCAAGTCGTCTCGCTTTTGCAAGTGAGCATATCGCTCCTTTCCTTTCCTTTCCTTCCAAACACCCGGCCTGTTGTAAGGCTACTACGTCAATCCTCGACCAACAAAAGAGGATTTATTTGCCAAGGGTGTCCACGCACCATTGAGAGCCTTCCCATGACGGCTCACATGCATCAAAATGGGAACAACCCCGCCAAAGAGATTCTTGTTCCTCTCGGTGTCCCCACAAAACAGGGGCCACTGGATATCCCCTTCAAAGGTTGCAATTTACCGCGTAGAATAGCCAAGTTGCTGCTTTTTTCAGTCACTGTTGCTGGTGTTTGGGGTAAAGTGCATGCAAAAAAAACGATCGCAACTGGCGATCCAGGCGGGGGTGTCCCTCTAAACTGCCGCTGCTTTCCGGGAGGCTCCAAAAAGGGAAACGGCTCGGGTTCAACCCTACCCGCCCCCCGGTCAGCTTCGGCCTCGCCGCAGGGCCGCTCCAGCGCTGGCCTATGTTTTTGTGTTTGTTTTTTGGTCCCGGGGGATTCTCTAGAAACAGGGCTGGGAGGCGAATCTGTGAATCCACCCCTGTAGAACATCAGGAAAGAACTAAAACATTACTAAAGAAGGACCAACAGGGGGAAGAACAGGTGACATTTTCTGAAAATGTAGAAGATTAAAAGAGAACTTAACGATTACTAAAGAAGGACCAACCGGGGGAAGAACAGGTGAAATCCACGCAAAAAGCGCATCCAAACTGTCCTCTAGAATTACTTGTTCTCTGTTTCATCTAAGCCACTAGGGGGATGAGTTTGAGGTCTTTCTATGGACCCCATTTGAGGTCTTTCTATGGACCCCTGCACACTGGCTCCCATCAGACTATCTGCGTGCGGAAGTCGTTTCATGGTGCTCGGCCCACATTTTCGCGATGTCAGCAAATCAAGATGTTGCGGTTCATGCGGCAAGCAACAAGCATAGATCACGGGCCTAGCATAGTTGTCCTGAAGAATCTTCATCTGGTACAAATGGGGCTCAACAACAATTGAGGCCCCCCCTGCAGTTTTCGTTCTCGTTTTGGCTCAAAGCCGTTAGGACTGCGCAACTCTGGGGTGCAACAGTATGGGTCGAAGGTCTTTTTTTGTGTTGGTACGCCTTGTTCAGGTTGGTTTTACAGGGGCACCATAAGAAAAACCACCAATTTTGCCCCCCCCCCCCCAAAAAAAAAAAACAACGACTCACCCATATTGTTGCGGATGTAGTGAACCAAATATGAAATATGCCCAATAGAAATTAACATGGAAGGGTCCCAAAAGAAGGAGTTTCCTCTACCAATGGGTGTGTTTTTGGTTCCATGTTAAGCAGGGGAATATGCTCTAGTGGAAAACCATTGCAGGCCACTGCGCGAGTCTCAGCGTTTGCTTGAAAACGGCTCCCGAGTCAACGCACGCGACAACTCAGCTGAAGGGGTGCCTCTGAGTCCTGATATTTTCCCATAACGAAGAGGTCTCCCACGATGTGGCTGTGGTGGTCTAACATAGCTGGTAACCCCAAAATGGGTTGCCCTGGAAAATGGAAACATGGACTAAACCTGTGGTCCTCTGGTGGTTTAATTTGGACCCATGCCCATATCTGCTTTTCTGGTCTGGGGTTGACTCCGTTGAACAACTGGGTAATTCGGTTCACCTTTTGGAAGAGCCAAACATGGCGGGGTTCCAACCAGCAAATCAATTGAGGAAGCAACTAGACCGTGTGCTCATAGAGGGCGAGCCCAAGCGTTTTGTGGGAAGCCTCAGTTAAACCTTTAGGAGCTCTCATCGTCTAAATCGGGTCAACCACTCTTTTAATGGATTCAGTTTGCATCAAGAGCCCTGCCAGGTGCACAGCACCCAGAAAGAAGGTCTCTAAAATGTCCTCGACACACACAAAAGGAAACTCAATTTGAGTACGGCTCTTTCAGGCCATGTTTAAAGCCACCCTGGGGGAAATGAAGTTGCAACGTGATATCATACCCTTAACGTGTTTCCGGGCCAGGTGTTACTGCATTTCCTTAAACATTGCCCCCCCAATTGAAACCCGCTTTGGCAACCACTAAGGTGACGTTTCAGCCCTGAAAACACTCGGTGTGCCTGTCTTAGGGTTGGACCCCCAAAAGGCTGCAACGGTCCCCACCAAAAGTGGACTACCAACTCCGAAAGGACACACCCGCATCGAGCCCGGCGCCGCGCAAGGGAGGGGCTCTGCACAAAGTGCCTGGCCCGACTCGAGCCGCCGAATTCTGAGGCAAAAGGGGGCGGCCTTTCTCAGGCGACCCACGGAAGTGTATCCATCTGTAGAGGCTCTCTTCCTTTCTCTCCAAAAAAAATTGAGTCAACGTGGGCCGGGAACTGGCAAATCCTTAGGCAGGCAAGCCCTCTTCAAACCACCTAATCCTAGTTGCCCTACTGTTCTTTCCATGGTTAGATCCTGCTAAGGCGGTTGAACATCTGCGTCTTTAAGTGGTTGTTTGGATTGTTCGCCTTTTGTTTGCAATGATTCATTGGGACATAACTCATCTTCCCGCTAACGTAGTTGGGGTGGAATGGGGGTTTGCTGGTGCGGGGCATGTCATTTGTTCATGTACCCTTTATGAGAACCAGAGGTCCAATTCCGAGGTGATGTTTGAACCGCCTGCAAGGAAACTGGGACGGTTTGTTAAAGTAAGGAATATCATATTCCAGCATTTGAAGGGTCTCATTTTTCCAGGGGTGCCCCCAAAATGGTGGGTTTTGCTTTTGGCTTTCCTCCAAGACCCAAAACAAAGGGGTACCTACTACTCAAAACAAAGACGTTCGACTCATTTTAACAATATGACACGAGCCTATTCCATGAATCATCTAGGGTTCCCTTTGTTTTGCTGGTGCTCAGTAGGGAATGACCCAGGGTTTGGGAATGAACCCAGGGATTCCCTTAAAGGAAAGCTGAAAATCGGCCGGGAAGCCATGAGCAATCTGTGGTGAGATTCAACAGAAATAGAGAATAATAATTATGGTCATAAAGAAATAAACAAGAACATGAATACATAAATTAATAAACAAATACATGTAGAACAAATACATAATATTAATAATAATAATAATGATAATAATGATGATGATGATAATAATACTAATAATAATAATAATAATAATAATAATAATAATAATAATAATACAAAAACAAGGAAATAAATACATGAATAAAGTCAACAACAAATACTATAACGATAACAAATGCGCTGGGAGGTACTTATGGCATTTGATGCGAGCTCGTGAGATTGTACAACTTAAACCCCGATCTTGCACGTACTGGGGACCTCCTCACCTCCAATTTTACACCCTAGGGTTCAACCACCATTGAAAAAATGGTTGACCCAGTTTAGATGATGAGAACTCCTTAAGCAAGCAGTGGTGATTAAGTGTTCCCACCCATTGATTTAATGGTGGCTTGAGTTCTAGTTTACAGGAAAACCATGCTTCTCGCGGGATTTGGAAATCAAGTTTCTGGAATTTCCTGTGACTGCCTGCCCCCTGAATGAGTGGTTTCCCGGTTTCCCTTGCAAAGGGGAACCTTGGCTTTGACTTTGAAATAGGGAACCTCGAAAGTGGTGGGCGTGAATCCTCACCTGAAGTTTGAGGCATAGGTGTCCTTTTAGGGCAAATAGATGGCCGTGGTAGATGACTGAACCACCAGGTAAACCAGGGCCAGCTATTTTTCTGCCAAAACAACCAAAAAGGACACCTATGGTTTGAGGTCATCCTTTCTAGTATCCCCACCTGAAATGGGAGCACCAGGGCCCGTATGCTCACACCCCCTCCAAATGAGCAGCGACCAAAACCTGGGGCGAGAGGCTTTGGGTGACCCGTTGAAAAGGTGCTTCTACAAATGGGACCAAAGGTGCTTTCTGGATGGTCCAAGCAAACCAACTTGAAGCGGCCCCGCAATTTGGAGAACCACCTGGGCTCTAGGAATGTGACCAAGATGAACAAAGGAACAAGCTAAATCTTAGGGTTCGTGCTAAATGAATAACCCCTTTTCTGTGGAAACAGCTAGTGTCCGCACTGAGGGTGAGACCTTCTGCCCTTCTGGTAAAACTGCACCCCTTGAAGACAAACGCCTGGGTCCCATGGGTCTCCCACCAAACCCACTGGGTCACCTAGACCCAGTGGGAATGTCAACTGACCGTCCACTGGGGCAACCGTAAATTTGCGTGGTTGCTTCGTTCCCTCATCGTAGGGAATCGACGCGGGTTTTGGGAATGAACCCCGGGGATTGAGGGAATGAAGCAACCAACCAAACCTGTAGTTTCCCCGGTGGATGCTGAGTTGACATTGTGACCTAGTGGGTTTCTCAGGTGGCCATGGGTCAAAGTCCCTTTTCCCCCAGTGAACATCCCAATCCCCACTAACATAGACTAAAATTGGTGGTGCACCAATCCCTCAAAATGGGATCCCGTTGGTTTTGACACCCAGCCAAAATGGGTGGTGAATTCACCTACCAAAATGGGATCCCAAAACGGTTGTAACAACCACCGCCAGGTGACCCTAGGACCACCACCGACTTTTGCTCCAAAGCCACCGCGCGCCTGGCCGCGTCCAGCGCCTGCTGCGCCTCCAGAAGTGCGCGGCTCAGCTCCGAGCCTGCCTCGCGCACGCGGATAGGTCCGCTGGAAAACATGAGAAACATGTCCCCGACTTTGAGACACCGGTTCCCAGTGGTTCATTGACCCAGCTGGTTAATGTTGACCCGGAATACACTCCAGAGTAGATTCGCTTGAAAACCAACGGAGAAAATATGTAACGATCGAACAAAATGATTTCAGCAGATGCAAGTGAGCTTCCCTCCAATCTGAGGTTTGTTGGCTTTCTCAAAATTGGGGATCCCATTCAGGTTGGTTTCCCTTTGGTTTCCCTTGAAACCATCCATAAAGGGGGTCCCCGACTTTGAGACACCGGTTCCCAGTGGTTCATTGACCCAGCTGGTTAATGTTGACCCGGAATAATAAACTCCAGAGTAGATTCGCTTGAAAACCAACGGAGAAAATATGTAACGATCGAACAAAATGATTTCAGCAGATGCAAGTGAGCTTCCCTCCAATTGGTCTGAGGTTTGTTGGCTTTCTCAAAATTGGGGATCCCATTCAGGTTGGTTTCCCTTTGGTTTCCCTTTGGTTGCAAGTCTTCCCTCCAATTGGTCTAAGGTTTGTTGGCTTTCTCAAAATTGGGGATCCCATTCAGGTTGGTTTCCCTTTGGTTTCCCTTTGGTTTCCCTTTGAAACCATCCAGAAAGGGGGTCCCCGATTTTGAGACACCGGTTCCCAGTGGTTCATTGACCCAGCTGGTTAATGTTGACCCGGAATAATAACCTCCAGAGTAGATTCGCTTGAAAACCAACGGAGAAAATATGTAACGATCGAACAAAATGATTTCAGCAGATGCAAGTGAGCTTCCCTCCAATTGGTCTAAGGTTTGTTGGCTTTCTCAAAATTGGGGATCCCATTCAGGTTGGTTGCCCTTTGGTTTCCCTTTGGTTTCCCTTTGAAACCATCCAGAAAGGGGGTCCCCGACTTTGAGACACCGGTTCCCAGTGGTTCATTGACCCAGCTGGTTAATGTTGACCCGGAATAATAACCTCTAGAGTAGATTCGCTTGAAAACCAACGGAGAAAATATGTAACGATCGAACAAAATGATTTCAGCAGATGCAAGTGAGCTTCCCTCCAATTGGTCTGAGGTTTGTTGGCTTTCTCAAAATTGGGGATCCCATTCAGGTTGGTTTCCCTTTGGTTTCCCTTTGGTTTCCCTTTGAAACCATCCAGAAAGGGGGTCCCCGATTTTGAGACACCGGTTCCCAGTGGTTCATTGACCCAGCTGGTTAATGTTGACCCGGAATAATCTCCAAGTAGATTCGCTTGAAAACCAACGGAGAAAATATGTAACGATCGAACAAAATGATTTCAGCAGATGCAAGTGAGCTTCCCTCCAATTGGTCTGAGGTTTGTTGGCTTTCTCAAAATTGGGGATCCCATTCAGGTTGGTTTCCCTTTGGTTTCCCTTTGAAACCATCCAGAAAGGGGGTCCCCGATTTTGAGACACCGGTTCCCAGTGGTTCATTGACCCAGCTGGTTAATGTTGACCCGGAATAATAAACTCCAGAGTAGATTCGCTTGAAAACCAACGGAGAAAATATGTAACGATCGAACAAAATGATTTCAGCAGATGCAAGTGAGCTTCCCTCCAATTGGTCTGAGGTTTGTTGGCTTTCTCAAAATTGGGGATCCCATTCAGGTTGGTTTCCCTTTGGTTTCCCTTTGAAACCATCCATAAAGGGGGTCCCCGATTTTGAGACACCGGTTTTCAGTGGTTCATTGACCCAGCTGGTTAATGTTGACCCGGAATAATAAACTCCAGAGTAGATTCGCTTGAAAACCAACGGAGAAAATATGTAACGATCGAACAAAATGATTTCAGCAGATGCAAGTGAGCTTCCCTCCTATTGGTCTGAGGTTTGTTGGCTTTCTCAAAATTGGGGATCCCATTCAGGTTGATTTCCTTCTTTGAAACCATCCATAAGCAAAATCTCGATTTTGAGACACACCGGTCTCCAGTGGTTCATTGACCCAGCTGGTCAATGTTGACTCCTGAACAATACACTCCAGAGTAGATTCGCTTGAAAACCAACGGAGAAAATATGTAACGATCGAACAAAATGATTTCAGCAGATGCAAGTGAGCTTCCCTCCAATCTGAGGTTTGTTGGCTTTCTCAAAATTGGGGATCCCATTCAGGTTGGTTTCCCTTTGGTTTCCCTTGAAACCATCCATAAAGGGGGTCCCCGACTTTGAGACACCGGTTCCCAGTGGTTCATTGACCCAGCTGGTTAATGTTGACCCGGAATAATAAACTCCAGAGTAGATTCGCTTGAAAACCAACGGAGAAAATATGTAACGATCGAACAAAATGATTTCAGCAGATGCAAGTGAGCTTCCCTCCAATTGGTCTGAGGTTTGTTGGCTTTCTCAAAATTGGGGATCCCATTCAGGTTGGTTTCCCTTTGGTTTCCCTTTGGTTTCCCTTTGAAACCATCCAGAAAGGTGGTCCCCGATTTTGAGACACCGGTTCCCAGTGGTTCATTGACCCAGCTGGTTAATGTTGACCCGGAATAATCAACTCCAGAGTAGATTCGCTTGAAAACCAACGGAGAAAATATGTAACGATCGAACAAAATGATTTCAGCAGATGCAAGTGAGCTTCCCTCCAATTGGTCTGAGGTTTGTTGGCTTTCTCAAAATTGGGGATCCCATACAGGTTGGTTTCCCTTTGGTTTCCCTTTGAAACCATCCATAAAGGGGGTCCCCGATTTTGAGACACCGGTTCCCAGTGGTTCGTTGACCCAGCTGGTTAATGTTGACCCCGGAATAATAAACTCCTGTTCATTACTAGGTCTTGTGGGGATTCATCACTTTTGGAGCAGAACATAACAATCAACTGGGGCTCATTAGTTCGCTGGGTAGTTCCTGGTCTAAAAATTGCTGCGTTTGGCTTGGTGGTTTGGTGTCAGCAGGATTTTCCTGCCCAATGGCCATCCAGAAAGTCATCCAGAAACTAGATGTGGAGGTGTTCCGGGGGGCGGTTTCCAAGGCTTCAAATCCAAATCCACCAACCGGTACAGTGGAAGCCCTTCTTTTCATCTGCATCTGTCCTTTGTCTCTTTACTTTTGTTGTTTTCTCTCTCTCTCTCTCTATCTCCCTGTCTCTCCCTCTCTCTCTCTCTCTCTCGCTCTCTCTTTTTCAGTTTTTCTCTTTCTCTTCTTCTTTCTCTGTCTCCTTTTGCTTTCTCGGCTTCCTTTCTCATTCTCTGCTTCTTTCTTTTTCTCTACTTCCTTTCTCTGTCTCTTTCTCTTCCTTTTCTTTATCCCTCTCTTCTTTCTCCTTCGCTCTATTCTCTTCTTCCTTCTCGTGCTCTTCCTCGTTCTGCTTCTCATCATCATTATCTTTGTGATTATCTGAGTCTTTCTTGTCTCTTTCTCTGTCTCTCTCTCTCTCTCTCTCCAGCCAGCCAGAGAAGCCAACACCCAAAGAAAGTTGCTCTTCTTTGCAATTTCTATGCCCACACACGCTCACGCATCTTTTCTCGCATGCCTTCCTCCTTTATTCATCTTCTCCTTGCGCACTGTCTTCAATTAGTGTCTTTCTAAACTTCCCTTAAAAAAAAGAAGAAGAGGTTTTAGGGGAGACCACAGTTTTCTCTGACTTGGGGTGGTTGTTTGCATGCCGCCCGGCTCCTCGCTGAGGTCCTTGGCTTCTGCCTCGACCACCTCAGAGGCTGGGCAGTTGTACTCGGCTGACTTAGCTGAAAGGGTAGGATGCGCTGGACATCCCGAAACTGAGGACCTTGGTCTTTGCACGAAACCAAAGGAAAAAAACACACCCCATCCAGGTCTGGCTAGGGGGGAACACCCTTGGCCCGAATGCTGCGCACGGTAAAGGACAGCCAGCCCGTTGTTTCAGCATCTTGAAACCATCTTCTTGAGGGCCATGGCTTGGTGGGATAATTCGGAAGTCTTGCGCGGCCCGATCGCCAGCTCTTGGGTTTTTGTTCGCCAAATTGTTGCGCCCGATGGGCTCACAGGCTGCGGCTTCCAATGTGTACATACCTGACGGGCTATATGGGAGGTTGCCGGGAGACAGTCCGGGGCCCTGAAAGTGAACATCTGTCCAGTTCTCGAACTTATGTTCGGGGGTGGTTTACTGGCTCTGTCTGGAAAGACTGGTACTCCTTTGTCCTGCTCTGATTCGGAGCCAATGACTCGCCTTGCTATGGCTCTAATTCAAGACCTGATATTTTAGTGGGGTTTGGGTCAATAGGATAAAATGTCAAGCCGAGATAACCCCCAACCTTTGGGGGCCCAAATCGCCACCAAGAGGCGTTTCACGGTCGAAAAAACCCAATTTGGGCCAAACGGCTTGTTGGCAAACCCCCGGGTCCCGTTCTGTGATCGATCCAAGGGACCTTCGCCATGGGAGCGACCTGGCTGGGTCGAACAGCTGGAGCTGAGGCAGGCATGATGTGCCATGCGTGTTTTTGCTTTGAGGGCGGTTCTTGAAGCGAAATCAAAGGGACAACCAGAAGTTTGGGGGCCCAGCACACACACACACACACACGCGCACGCACACGCACATGTATATATATAAATGGAGATGCTATGTGCATGTTCTGTTTTTGGGGAGGGCACCCTTCTTGGACTTTGTAAAGCGACTTTTTTTAGAGGAAGAACCACGAGTTTGGGGTCCCACACACACACACATATCCGATGCGGAGATGAGCTGACTTACAAAATCTGAGATCTCGACTTCAAACAGCTAGATCACTCACCAAATAAGCATGAGGAGACTGCCTGCCTACCAACAAAAGGGAAACCACCTATTTCAGGCTTGGGCTTGAGCATTTGGGAGTTCAGTCTTGGTGTTGGGTTAATTATATCACACCAAACAAGACATTTCCACCAGTGAGCACCCTGAGCAAAAGACAGGCTTGCAATTCACCAATACCAAAGTCAGCCCCCACAGGTTGAACGGGGGGCAACAGCCCTGGGCCCATTGAACGGGGCCTTTGCATGATCAGAGAGCCATCCTAAAAGCTTTGTGAACCCCAAATACCCTCTCTTTTAATCTGTTTCGAAGAAGCACATCTTCATGGTAAATACCTCCCTATTTAGTGGTTGACATTAACTTTTCCCTGAAACAGTGCTTGTTGTAAGGAGCGGGTTGGGTTCAGCAAAAAAGCACAAAACATGCTCCCTGAAGGCAAACCACGACCAACCAAACTTTCGATTTCGTGGCCGGGTCATCTTTTACTTAGTGACTGCTGCGCCCGGCCATGTAATTCTGACTTTTCTTGAAAGGGTTAGAGGTACTTCAGGTACTTCAAACAGCATTCATGGGTTTCAAAAGAATCTCCAAGTTTACAACAACTCCAATACTCAAGGTGTCTCCGAGAAAAGGATAAACATCCTGGGTTTTCGCTCGTTCTGCCCCATCGGCGAATAGGCAGAAAGATGGTCGGGCAATGCGGTATCAAGTCAATAGAAAACAAACAAAGGGCAGGGCAGCCTGCCGGAGTCAAATCACCCTCCAATCCACCCCCTGCTGCAAATATTTGCCATGGAAACCCTGGTGCTTCAAAATATACCAACCCAAACTAGCATGTCCTTACAAACCTCCTGGTAGCTCCGAAAGGCTGCCTGTGAAGCAACTTTGCATACCCCCAGCTCGGTAACGGCGTCCTTCCACCAGCCGCCGCACCCCCAACCCCCCCCCCCCCACCAACCCCACCCCCCCCCCCCCAAGCGACGGGATCAGCCGGGGATTTTGATCTCTCGGACCGCACGCGCCTCGTTGGGCGTGCTCGTGCGCGTGGAGCTCGAGGACTTGCCTCTCGATCGGCTCGGCGGCGCTTTTGGCTCGTCTTGGGCCTGCAAGAAAATGGGGCGCAACATGGCGTCTCCTCTTGGCTTCGGTGTAAAAAGACACACACTAAAAACAGAAAATGGTCGGTTTCCTTGTAAGAAGACACGCCAAAAACGGAAAACGAGTAGCTTTCCTGTTACATTCCCCTGTGCAAAACACAAAAAAAAGAAAATGGTTGGTGTCCTTTGGGGTTCCCTGGTAAAACCCACCAAAACCGGGGTTACCGCCAGAAAAAGACACATGCGGGTTTGGGTTGTGTTGAGGGGGGTTGTTACGTAAGAATCAGCAAGGACCCTTAGGCGGGAACGGAAGTTCAGGGAATTTCTCACCTCCGTGGATTAGTAAAGAAAATCATAAAATTTACCACCGTACAGGTATACCACCCTAGTCCAAACCAGAAAAATCAGCTGAACTCAGGGAATGGGATTCTCTACCCATGGTTCGCTCCTTCAACGTTGTGTTGAGGCTCGGACGCCCCTGTCGATAATGGAGAATTTCCGCCAATAGGTCGTCAGAAGTACGCATGATTATACGGACTTACCATCCCTTACAATTCCTTTTCACATCCAAAAGAAGATCCCTGATTCTACATGTTACTAGCCCCAGAAGCCAAAGGATATATGAAGGTTGCGGAAGGGTTGTGCAAGGGTCAGATTTGGCTGCTGCAGAAACCAGATAATTCTAGGGCTGCGGCATATGTTTCACCCAGCTGCGCTGCTTTCTTGGCGGAGGAAAGGATCCCAAAGTAGCAATGCAGTTTGGCGGGCGCGCGTTCTGTCCTATGTTTTCCAAATGCTATTCACTACCCCCAGTTAGGGCACTGACCCTCTCGTTCGGGGGCCAGCGGGGATCATTCAAAAAGCACGAGTGCTATGCTGGAATTACTTGGTGAGGAAGCTGGCAACAAGAGAGTGCTGATAACGGCTGCGCCGCAATTTGGAAAGACATATCAGATGGGCCGATACCAACACATGCGCCTCGGGGGTACCCTCTCTGTAGCAAGGCGGGCCGGTGTGTCATGCGTATGCACGCACGCACGCACACACGGCGGGGACAGATATAGGAAGATAACCGATTAATAGGATACAGACAAGAGGATGAACATAATAATTACAGGTCAAGATACGACCATGAGATAGAAAGTTGTCTACAGGAAATTGACCATCTGTCAAAACAAAAGGCAACATATTCAGAAACCAAAAGCACAAATAAAAACCATTGAAACTACTAGATGCAAATATCATAAAACGCAATGAAGGCGAGACTTCTCATAAAGTAAAATACGATGAATATAGAAGTAAATAAGATCAATTGAATAACAAACAAATGCATTGTTTTTGGCACAGCATTTTACATCATGTTGGCATAGTAAATACTATTCAGACACTATATGTAAAGAAGCTAGTAATCCGCATGCGTCTAGTTGAACTTCTAATGCATTATCTGGATGTGAGAAAGAAGAGAACCCGTAGGCAATGGAAAGAAGATATAGATAGAGAATTAACATCTGTCCATAGGAATATTTAGTAAGAATGAAAGGACAAATGCTAGCTTATCATTAGTGGAATTCCTGTTAGGATGATTAGAAGACAGAACATCTAGAATTACAATATGATAATAAGAAAAACACAAGGCTCTTCAATTGTGGATTGTAAGCAGAATGTCCTCCACAAAGCCATTCTTTAAAGATGGAATGGGAGATAACAAATTTGTAATTACTGTAACTCCGGTATAAACAAGTTTGTCCTTTCGGTGAAACATAACCCATAAAAAACTGTTTCCAGGAAGAATAAGTAAATCATAATTCCAGAATACCAAGTATTAGGCTCACAAAAACATCAACCATATGATATAGCTCTTCCAAGATGTAGAAACATACAACAAAATATATGTATGTTTGTATTCACGTGTGTATGTCAAGCGCTGCAAGCAAACTCAAGGTGTTTCTCAAATCTCCTTCAAGAGTTCATCATCACTCCCTCCGATTCGATCCGGCCTCTCAACTCCAGCTCGTCCTGCAGATGGCGCCGATCACTGAAGCCGCTGAAATAGGGCGACCAACCACAGTTGCCCCCCAGTTGTCAGCATGAATACAACCTACAGCTTGAACACTCCAAGTTATCCAACCAACTGCCCCCTGTGCCCATCAGCATGAGTATAAAATCAAGTGTTCAAACCAACTAACCATCCCTCTAAACAACAGCATGACTACAACCTACAGCTTGAACACCTAAGTATTCAAACTAACTAACCATCCCCCCCAGTCATCAGCATGATTACAACCTACAGCTTGAACACCTAAGTAACCAAACTAACCAAATTCATCCCTCTGTGTCATCGTGCAGCATGATTACAACCCGCAGCTAATTAGTTCTGGCAACCAAACTAACTAACCATCCCCCCCCCCCAGTTGTCAGCATGACTACAACCTACAGCTTGAACACCTGCAAGTTATCCAACGCACCAATTATCCTCTGTCATCAAGTATGATTATAATTCATAAGCTTTAACACTGGTATTCAAATTAAATTCAAATTCATCCCCTCTAATCATCAGCCTGACTTACACCTAAATGTCAACCAACAACCATGCCTCTCTGTGCCTATCAGTATGATTACAACAACCTCCAGCTTGAACAGGTAAGTATTCAAACTAACTAAATCATCCCCATCTCAGTTGTCAGCATGACTACACCCATGTTTGAACACTCAAAGTATCCAAACTAATCAACTATCCCCTCTCTTAGTCATCTATGATTATAACCTATGCTTGAATAATTTGCCATTCAAACTAATCAAACTATCCCAGTTGTCAGCATGATTACAACCTACAGCTTCAACACCTACGTAATCAAACAAACTAACCATCTCCCCCAGTCATCAGCATGATTGCAACCTACAGCTTGAACACCTAAGTATTCAAACTAACTAACCATCCCCCCCCCCAGTTGTCAGCATGACTACAACCTACAGCTTGAACACCTAAGTATTCAAACTAACCAACCATCCCCCCCCCCCCAGTCATCAGCATGGTTAAAACCTCCAGCTTGAACACCTAAGTAACCAAACTAACTAACCATCCCCCCCCCCAGTTGTCAGCATGACTACAACCTACAGCTTGAACACCTAAGTATTCAAACTAACTAACCATCCCCCCCCCAGTCATCAGCATGATTACAATCTACAGCTTGAACACCTAAGTATTCAAACTAACTAACCATCCCCCCCCCAGTTGTCAGCATGACTACAACCTACAGCTTGAACACCTAAGTATTCAAACTAACTAACCATACCCCCCGCAGTCATCAGCATGATTACAACCTACAGCTTGAACACCTAAGTATTCAAACTAACTAACCATCCCCCCTAGTCATCAGCATGATTACACCCAACCATCCCCCCCCCCCCCAGTCATCAGCATGATTACAACCTACAGCTTGAACACCTAAGTATTCAAACTAACTAACCATCCCCCCCCAGTCATCAGCATGATTACAACCTACAGCTTGAACACCTAAGTATTCAAACTAACTAACCATCCCCCCCAGTTGTCAGCATGATTACAACCTACAGCTTCAACACCTACATAATCAAACTAACTAACCATCTCCCCCAGTCATCAGCATGATTGCAACCTACAGCTTGAACACCTAAGTATTCAAATTCACCAACCATCCTCTGTTGTCAGCATGACTACAATCCATAAGTTTGAACACTCTGGTATCCAACCAACCAAACTATCGAAGCATGGAAACATGACTACAACCTGCAGTTTGAATACCTGTTATCCAACTAAACCTAAAATCATCCCCAAAGTCATCCGCATGATTACACCCAGTTTGAACAGGTATCCAAATCCAATTCAAATCATCCTTCAGTCATCAGTATTAGATTGCAAACTCCAGCTTGAAACACCAAGTCTAAACTATCCCCCTAGTCATCAGCTTGATGTTCCGCGCTCGGTTATCCATTCCGGGAACGCCCGCATCCCGGTCGCTCCTCGCTATCCGCGCCGAAGAACGTGGACCCAGATGCGCTCAGCTCATCCGCCTCCCGCTGAAGCGGCGGGACGTGCGTGCCGAAGGCGCGAATCATGGATGGATTTCTCAGTTGTTCAGTGACCCTGGAAAAAAAGGAAACCCTTTTTGGGGAAGACAATTTTTAATGGGGCAGCCACCAAAACAAGGGGAAAAGAATGCCACTGAACAACTGAGGTTTGCCTCTTTTATTGAGGCACCTGTACTGTTGGGGTGGTTTCAAAAAGACTCTAAAAGGAGCACCCGCCATTTTGGGGCTTCCTTTTTTGAAACACATCCAGCTACATCCCACATTTACCGGATTTAGAGAAAAAGCGGCACTGAGAGAGGGGTAGTAGAAACATTGATCCGGGCGGGATTGAGATGGACCCAAGATCTAAGATTGTCAAAGGACTTTTGACTAGTATTCTTAGATGTTCGAAATGGCCTGAAACTCTGAATCCCGAATTTCAAGATCTCAACTCCAGGATTTGAATCCTGAATCCAAGATACAAGACCAATTGCTGGCCAAAAGTCTGCGCCCTTTTCAAATCTGGGCCAACCTTCGATCTGAACATCACTGAGTCATTCCAAATGCTTTATCGCTTTGCGGGGATGCCTTTGCCATCGCAGGTGGCCCTAAAACCAATAATTTCCACAACTATGTATGCCGAGAAGGTAAGCCTTTTTTATGGAGGACAGTGGCATCTTCGAACCTTGTTCGGGCCTATGGGGTACTGCGACCGACTTGCACGAAAATAATGATCCATGTTCTCGACCTCTGTTTCCATTTTTTCCCGTCCACCCAATGCCAACTCATCACGACTTTAGGTTTCATGCTGGTCCATATTTAGCAAGTTCAAAGCATGCTTTGCTGTTTGACCACGAACAAGTCATTAAAATTGTGCCAACTCAACAACTTGCCCCGTGCCCGGTGCAAAGCTTGATATCTGTTGCTTCCAACAGTGGTCCCATTCCCCCAAAGATTATGTCGCAAAATGGTTTGGTTTTGCAGGCTCCTTCTGTTCATGTTTGGTTTCTTCCCCAAAAAGATGGAGCCCGAAAAGGGGTCCATTCCCCAAAAAAGACTCTGGTCCACAGAAATATGGCCCAAATGCCTCTAAAACTAAGGGCTTGGGTAAAACGGAGGGTTTCTTGGATCCCATGTTGATCTGCTGGGGTTGGTTGCTTCTTGCTTCCTTCCACCCCACCCACCCACCCACCCACCCACACTTGATTTCGCTCTGGCCTGAACCTCCATGAATGGTTCCATCCACAGGCTGGCTCAATCGGTGCCAAATGAAGGATGTAGAGTGCGAGGTCCAAGAGGATTCATGATTCACACCCTCTTGCGTGTGCCGAAATTGTCGTTCTTCTGGCGCAACTGTCGAGCCCGTCCGCTCTGAATGCGCGGGCAGCATCAATCAGGCGAAAGTGCCCCCCCCCGCCCACACACACTTAAACTCCAGATGGAGGGTGCTAATCTTTCGAGTACAACTGGTAAGTCTGGGCTTGGATAAGGTTCTTCATGCATAAGTTTCGGCTCGCAATGGCGGTTTCCGCGGGCAAAGAGGGGTCCGTTTAGTTGGGGTAGCCCACCAGCTGTCATCATAGACCCAGGTGCGGCTTGCAGGTACGTTTCACGAGAATCATGTGGGGTCTTCGTTGGCAGCCGCCCACATGCTTCTCCGGCTGCCCCCTGCTTTAACCCAAAAGACGGTGACAGGGCATTCTGTCACTCCGCACACACACACACACACGCACACACACACACACACACGTCGCAGGAAAAGGCTCCCCGCCCCCTAATGGTGGACCCTCTAATGGATCGTCGCATTATGTCGCATTTACCCGGCAAGATGACTGGCGTTCAAAAACGGCATTGAACACATGTGTGAATTGTGGACATCCCAAGATCGGTGTTTTCCTCTTCGATTCCCTTTAACTGAGTACCTTCTAGAAAGCATTCATATCCTTTCAGCTGCAACCGACGTCCAATTCAGCAGGCTGCAAGCTCTTAAGGGAATCAAAATTTTGCAGAGGATACTCGTGTGTGTAGCATCCAAAGGAACCCAGTTGCACAATAAATGAAGAAGAAAAAAAAGAGCATAGGGTCACATGAATGGGGGGGTGTGAATTCTATCTCAGGACCCTGTGAAATCATTTGTTTCATGGACAAGCAGTTCAAAGGGGTATTCCTCTTTAAGATTCTTCGCCATGTGGTGCTTTTTACAACAAAACTGTGGGACCCGAGAAGTCCACTGGCCAGTGGCTGCTTCTTGTGCAGGGTGAAGCATCTCAGCCTTCCCGATATCTCCCTATGAAATACCGTGGATGGACGAAATCCTGCAGCACCTCAACAACCCTGGAATGATTCGATTCCCCTCCAAATACCAACAACAAATGGTTTCAACCATGGCTTTGAAAGTGGTGTGAACGGATCTCGCCCATGCACACACCAAGAGAAGCCCATTTCAAAGGAAGGCCATCTGATCCCCAGATCCCAAGGCGATTGCCCCCTGATTTTTGCGGCTGCCTCTCGGCCTCTCGGCCTCTCGGCCTCTCGGCCTCTCGGCCTCTCGGCCTGGCGGGCCTCAAGTCACGTGGATCGTGCAGGGCGCATGTGCGCGACATCTGGGCCTTTCAGGCATCCGAATTCCAAGCTCGCCCATAGGCACGCACCCAAGGGCCCAAAGGGACCCCCCGTAGCCGGCAAGGGGCACTGCATTCGTCTAGGTTTTGGCTGCTCAACATGGATGCCACGTTGAGGACCCTTTTTGATGCTTAGGACTTACACTGGCAGGCACTCAAGCCTTTGCCCAGTTTTCAAATGCGCTCCCTTGGCTGGCCACTCTACCGGCACTGGGCCTAAATTGGCGTCCAAACACCAAACATCTCGGAGCTATCCACTGAATGGTAGCTGAAAGGGACACCACCCCCAAATGTGTTTTCGCTTTGAGTCACCCAGTAAAACATAATTCCCTGTTTTAAGGACATGAGCAGTCCGCTATGTCTGAAAGAATCGGTTCGATTCCTACAACAATTGCGTTCCTTCTGGCTTCCCTTGCAACCAAAAGGGACTCCGCACTCCATGTTGAGGCCCTCGGATGCGGAGGATGCGGAGGGTGCTCAGGCGAAGAGAAGACCTTGCCCCTGCGCGGTGAGCGGGCCGTTTGCTTGAAAACCCCCAAACGGCGTTTACCCCAGCTGCCCTTGTCGGACCCCGAAATACAAGGTGATCGCAAACACTTGGCACCCTACCATGTCCTTACAGAACTCCTGGTGGCTCATTCGCTCCGTGTTTAGAAGCAAATGTGGATGCTCCCAGCTCCGCAAGTAACGGCTCCCTTCCAACCAGCAGCAAGCACTAAAAGTGGACCAAAAAGGGGGAAGTTCAAAGGTCGTCTTTGGGGTGAGGAAACAAATTTCAGCGTGAAGGAACACGACGACAGGGCCTCTGAAATCAAGCACGTTGTAAAATTCGGTGAGCCTGCGGTTTTCATGTTTCGGGGTTTGTTTCTTGCCTGCCGTGTTTCAAGGTGTCGCCTAGGTTCCTCTAGGGGCAACTTCTGGTGCTGAGTCCGGGGGGCAAACCAACTGTCAGACCAACTTGCCGAGCTCGACCATTTTCACGGCTATGGGTAACCCAAATCGTATCCCATTGGAGGTTGACCGGCTCGGCTCAAAACGGAGGCGAAAAAAACGGCCCGCGCCCTGAGCTGCTTCGCTTCCTCGTCCGCGGACACCTGAAGGAAGGGGATGCGTCGGATCCTGTTGGGAACCGGGCAAGGAACTCAGTTGTTCAGTGACCCTGGAAAACAAAGGGAACCCTTTTTGGGGCTTGGACCATTTTTAGTGGGGCCACAAAAAAAAGGAAAAAGAATTGGTGCCAACTGAGGTGGACAGATTCATGGGTCAACCTATGACCTTCGCGTCAACACCAAAGGCGCACACCTCAAGGCCTGGAAATGTATTGGTTGTGTCTTTCACAGGTGTCCTTTGGGAAATATCCATGGGCTTCGCTGGCAAATGGGGCAAGAACGCCATCTAAACCGGTGGGACACCTAAGAACCCCTGGATGAACCCCTGGTTTAAAAGGGGTTCAACTCCTTCCGTATCTCAGGCGCGCCTGGGGCGCGCTGTGCGCTGCCAGAGCAAAACCGATCTGCTTGTGCTTCCAGTCGTAGACCGTGTAATACTTTCCTGAGGGTCGAATGCTGGTTTGCCCGCGAATCAACAGGGCTTTCGGGAATGAATTGGATCTGGGGATCCATGGGTCGTTCCCTCATTCCCCTATCGAACCAGCAGGGAATTGGAGAGGACACCAAAAGGCACAGGAAAACCTGGTCTGGTACCACGAAGGTCTGGCGCAAGGCTTGCAAAACAAGGGTTGCGAACAACACACCTTTGGTGGACATACCCTGGTTCGACCCTGAACCTAAACCATCTGGGCAACAAAAACTATAAGGAGAACAACTTGTAAAGTCAAAAACCGGTGGGCCAAAGAAACAAAAAAGTCCCCATGAACATCAGACCCATGTCCAATTTGAACGCTCAATTCAGACCTTTGACCCCTGGTACTAGACAACCACATGAGCTGCGGCTTGTTTTGCGTCTTTTGATTATTGTGTGCAGTGACATGTTTGTTGTTGAGCAACCCCCATGTGTTGATGATATTTGAACGAGCATCACTTACAGTAGATGGCTTGTTGGTTGTGATTGGCGTGACGTCTGAATAGTGTTTTGTTTTTTTGTTTGTTTGTGCTCCTTGTTTGTTTGGTTTGATTTCCCCTGGATGAGTAAAATCCAGGTTCTGGAAACAATCGTAGTCATTCAAGCGTGCCATGCATGGTCAAATCCATTGGTGGACACCACAGGGGATGGTTCAGTTCAGGGTCATTCCCTGGAGCCAGCAAGCATACGACCAGGTAGAACACTGGATTAAAACCAAAACATATGCAGCTCACGGAAGCTCAATTGGGTGTCTCTTGCGTGTACCCTTTTCAGTTTGGCTTGAAGGGAAGCTAAAAGGAAAGCCACCTTTTTGGGGGTCTCCCTATTTTGGCGCACCCATTTGCGGCTTGAAGGGTGGACATGTGCAGTCAACCGCGGTCTGGCCAAATGCTCTCAAACCGATTTGCGGCCAAGACAAGAGGTCTTCCCCATTCTTTGCATCCTCCTTTCCAGAAAACAAACCCCCCAAAACTGCGAGAGGAGTGGGTCTTCGTTAAAAGTTGCATGGCTAAAGAACGAAAACGAAGTCGAACAGAAGGATACGAGGCAACTAGATTTACCGGAACAGGAGCCAAACCCAACTGAGAAGCGCAGGGTAGGAAGTGGCTTGTAACCTTGGTTTTTTTTTAATGGCCATGGGTCAAAATCCCGTACCCCCAGTGAACATCCCAGTGCCCACTAAAATAGACCAAAATGGGTGGTGAATTCACCTACCCCAAAATGGGATCCCATTGGTTTTGACCCACAGCCATGTTTCACGCAAAGGGAGTTACAACGGCTTTGGTGGCTGTGCAGCATGGTCGGCGTCCAGGTCACCTTCGAGCTGGAGGTGGGGTTCCCGTAGGCTGGAAGCATCTTCGAGGACTTTTCATTTTGATGGAATCAAGTTGCTCCAATTAATAGTTAAGTAATCTATCATCATATTAGAATCATATTTATACCCTGTAGAGAAACTCTTGTCTCATGAGTAACACATTTTGCCAAATGCTTTAAGGTTCGCTGCTCGTGCCTTCCCTGCGCGAAATCCCATGGCTACTGAGTTTCTTCGGTTGGTGTCCCTGCGTGTGGGTTGCTGTGCTTCCAACTACATCCACCTGCTTCAACATACCGGGTTTGCCCTGCTTCGTAAGAACCCTTTCTGTTGTACCAACGTGGTCACGAGGGTTCCTTGGGGCCACTCCAAAACAAGCAAAACCAAGCATCTTCCACAATGGGTGTTCCTCCTTGACTCCCGAAACCAAATATCTCATAAGCTTCCTTGCGCATTTCCGTGTTTCCCTTTGCCCACTGCCAAACCCTTTTGGCACACATTTCTCTTTGCAGCCCAACAAAATAAACAGAACCAACCCCTTTTGGCAATCAACTTCTTTCCGCAGCCCAAACACATAATCAGAACCCAACAACCAAAACCAAAACAAAAAAAACAACAAAACAACAAAACAACAAAACAACAAAACCCAAACAAAACCTAACAACCCACACGAAAAACACATGGACCGACCAGAACAGCTCTCCGGCACCAGGCCCCCCCGCGCAGCACGGGCTCGCCCCAGATGAAGAGCTTCGGCCCCAGGGGCTCCGGCAGCTCCAAGGGCATCATCGTGGGCTGGCCTCGCCGGACATTTTGTGAAGGAAGGGGCTATGGTGCCCAGTCACCCCCAAATCGCTACCCAAGGGAAAATGGTAAAAAGGCAACCTGTGTATATATATATATATATATATTATGTCCAATCACTACCCCCCAAAATGAAAGCCTTCAAGGGAAAGTTGTATGCGCAAGCTTTTTTTATGAAGTGGCTATAAGAGTTCCCAAATCACGACTTACGGGAAAATGGTAGATGCAACCTTTATGGTAGCTATACAGGGGTTCCCAAATCACTACCCAAGGGAAAATGGTAGATGCAACCTGTATATGGGAGTTATTTACTCCATTTTGCCTTGGGGGTAGTGGTTTGGGGGTAGTGGAAACCATCTTGGATCCTTAACCCTACCTGAGCTTCCAATGGAGTGTTGGCCAATCCGATTCTCCATTAGACTAAACTAGGGAGGAAGGGGGGGAGGGAGGGAGGGAGGGAGGGAGGGGAGGGAGGGGAGGGAGGGGAGGGAGGGGAGGTAGGGAGGGAGGGAGGGAGGGAGGGAGAAAGGGAGAGAGAGAGAGAGAGACAAAGAGAGCACCTTGTTTGCAGATTATGTTTTCCTGCCAGCATATGGTGTGTGTTTTGAACGTACCATTGTGTTGCTTGATTGAAAAAAGCAATCAATGGAAACCACCATGTTTGGGCCCCTGGGTTGGCAGCTGCCCACTTTTGCTAGTTGTGACAGGCCAACTCGTAGCTGGCCGCAAGTTTTGCCGCGTGCCAGGGAAGTTTTTAGGGACACTCTTTAACGAGGTTGCCCTGCTAGAATGGCCGCTTTTGGCAGGGTGTAATGATTTTCCAAACCTGATTGTCCTGATTGTCCGTAGCAAAAACCGACTTGCTTATCTGAGTATTCTTTCCGTCCCGGCATCACACCACAAAGGTGGCGTCACAAAAAAAGAAACAAGCCTTGGGACGTGTGGGAAGTCGTGTGACCTGGGCGGATAAGACAACATCAAGGGTCAATTAGAGGCAAATTTCAGCTCTACATAGGGCGTAACTGTCATATTTCTTCTTTGGGGTTTGCTCAGCAGGGGATGAGGGAATGAACCTGGGGATTCCATTAAAGGAGACCACAAGGGATGGCTTATAGGGTGTCATTCCCTCATAGCACCAGCAAGTTTTGCTTGGGGGCCAGTGGGGGAAGTCTTTGACAATTTGAAACGGTGTCCCCAGTTTCAGAAAATCAGAGGGTTTCCCAAAGCCACGGACCCCTCCCTGATGTTACTGTCAAAGTCAGACTGTCAATTAGTTTTGAGGCCAATCACCAGACTGGTTCTCAGAACCCTGCGATTAAAACCCGAAGGAAGGTTCGATCGGAACCCTTCTGGTGGGGAAATGATCCTGCACACATCCGAAGGGGAAACTCACCGGTGGCCTACGCACCCTGAGTTGAAGGTACCGAATATGGCTCTAAGCTATGAAGCCCGTGAATACATATATATATATATATTCACAAAATAATATATATATATATATATGTATATATCGATGTGTGAATGTATGTATGTATGTATGTATGTATGTATGTATGTATGTATGCATGCATGCATGCATGCATGCATCTATGTATGTATGTATGTATGTATGTATGTATGTATGTATGTATGTATGTATGTATGTATGTATGTATGTATGTATGTATGTATGTATGTATGTATGTATGTGTGTGTGTGTGTATGTATGTATGTATGTATGTATGTATGTATGTATGTATGTATGTATGTATGTATGTATGTATGTATGTATGTATGTATGTATGTATGTATGTATGTATGTATGTATGTATGTATGTATGTATGTGTGTATGTATGTATGTATGTATGTATGTATGTATGTATGTATGTATGTATGTATGTATGTATGTATGTATGTATGTATGTATGTATGTATGTATGTATGTATGTATGTATGTATGTATGTATGTATGTATATGTAATGTATGTATGTATGTATGTATGTATGTATGTATGTATGTATGTATGTATGTATGTATGTATGTATGTATGTATGTATGTATGTATGTATGTATGTATGTATGTATGTATGTATGTATGTATGTATGTATGTATGTACATATATATATATATATATATATGAATAAGGCCAATTATCCAGTAACTGTGGGCTTCCCAAGAAAGGTTGGTACACCTAACGTCTGCAAACCCGAGATAAGCCCCGCGCACGTTGGCCGGCTGGATGCCTGTGCAATCGCTGCTTCGAGAGCACGTCATTGGAAGCAAGAACGCATATATGCTCTAGCCATTTTCTGGGTAGCGTAAGGATACTCCTGTCCCCTTGTGGAAATCTGGATTTCTTTTGTGGGGCCCGACACCCAGTCGGATACGGGTCTTTCATCCATGCTTCCATTACCCCCGAATAGTATCGCGCAAAGGAAACCAACCACCGCCGGTTTTTGAGAAAAACATGTTCTCTGTTCACCGCCCCTTGGCGAAATCATGTGAACCGTATGTTTTCTATATGTCCCCTATACTCCAGATACCCGCTTTGTTCGAGCATACTTGGAACAAACTGGGTTACCTAGTCAGGGTTGACATCATGCCCCTAAAAACCGTGGGTTTCGGGTGCAGGGGGTAGTTGGAATTGAGGAGTGGTCCGAGAAGCGGGTCGACAGACCGGCTCCCTGTTTCTTGGCGACCGTGTTGACTGCTGTGCTAAAGGTTCAACATTTCACTGGTTTCTCGCAGAAAACATACACACACCCACACACGCTTTCCCAAAAAGACTTCAAGGATAAAAAAGACCTGATCCAACCACACATCAATCCAGGGTTGCTGGTGTTTTCCCTGTTTCTGAGTTCTTCTTCTCTTAAAAAGCCCCCACAGAACGCTCTCACCAGCTCGATGGATCAGTCCATTTCCGCCGCCTGGCCTGCGGCTGAGACCTCGGAGCGATACGGCCATGGGTCAAAAGACAAATCGCACCCCCAGTGAACATCCCAATCCAACCACTAAAATAGGTTCAAAAAATGGGTGGTGAATTCACCTACCCCAAAATGGACCATTGGTTTTGACCCACGGCCATTTCTGGTTGGGACTCTCCACCCAGCTTGGAGGGGTCGTTGAAAATGGAGTGGTCTTGGATAAGCGAGTCCGTTCGCGGGACACCACAGGTCACAAGGGAAACCACCATCTCCACATAAAACCCAAGTTGACCATGTTGCACTTTAGTTGGAGACCCTCGGACGTCCTTTCAGGGATTTATGCCCAATCACTTTTCAGGGGTTCCCTGTTCAACTTCGTCGCCATGAGAGCTGAAGGCTCAGAAGGATCCGCTGTCTTTGACCTAATTTGGCCCACCAAGATCATGCTGCACCTGCAGATTAGAGTACAATCACCAACACCTACAACAAACGAATCCCTGAGCAAAAGACCTAGCTGATGGGTTCTCGCTCGCTTTCTCCCTGGAGCTCGCCCTACGACAAATGAACCAGTCCCTGGTCGCCGCCACAGGTTGGTTTTCCCTCTTCAACCGGAGATGGCGCGTGGAACGACATGAGTGTCCCGAACCCTTTGGTGGACATCATATTTTTGCCGGGGGGGGGGGGGTCATGTCCTGTTTTTTTTTTTTTTTTCAGTGGGGGTCCTGTCCACCATCCACCAACCACTTGCTTTAACATCGTAGCCAGACCTCAACGTTTTTGCCGATCGCTGAATGTCTGGTAAACCAAGCCTACCTGCAACGGGTTTGAACCCAAGGCCTCAAAAGAAGACTTTTGTGAGTCAAAGTTCCACCAGGGATGTGGCTATGTAGAGCCGGTGCCGAATGAGATCCGCGCTTAGTGTGAGAAGCTTCCATCCAATTCCATGCTTTGGTGAATACTCCACAGTATTTCCAGGTATGGGTTTTGGCTCCATGCACTGAAATACCACCCAGTGTTTTCAGCTTGTAACGCACATAGCCCTCATACAGTAGTTTTCTGTGTTTTCCACCTCGCCTCCAAAACGATCCCGAGCGTGGACTGGTCTCTGGGGCCTTGTGTCTTATTTTTTGAGGCTCGGTCCCTTTTGGCTTGTTTTAAAGGGAAACTAAAAGGACAACCAGCTTTTTGGGAGAAGAGAGACACACCCACAATCCAAGAGAAATAGGGAATTCCGGATCCCCTCCCAACTCCCAATTGATCATGCTCCATGGTCCCAAACGCTGGCCCAAACAAACCCCTTCCAACTACCCGGCCTTGGTTTTTTGAGCGTGCTGTCAGCCCTTGACAACCAGGAGGCATTTACTATGGTTTTTGAACACACACACACACCAACTAAAAAAGCGGGCATTTGGGGCGTGTCTTTGAGGGTACCCCTTTGGAGTATTTTTAAAGGTCAACCAAAAGGAACACCGTTGCGCAAGAGAACCAACTGGGCAAGCTTACCTCGGTTGGACCCTTGGGTTTACAGGAAAATAAGTGGCTCGTCTTTTTGTTGAAGGCTCGGTTCCCGTTTTGTTGGCTTTGGGAAAGCCAAAGGGAGACCACTGGTTTGGGGAGTCAAATCCGTTTTCTTTCTTGCACACAAACCGGGAAACTATAAAAATGTAAAACATACCTGGTGCCCGAAAGTCGCTTTTTGGCCGTTTGCTTTTCTCCACTTTTTCTTGGCCGTTGTAAAAAAATACGGCCGAATGCAGAAAGAACACTTTGTTTTGCCGTTTGCCATCGTTTGCCTTTGTGGCAAACTTATAAACACACGCTTGCCCTATAGTGCTTCACGCATGCCAGCGCAGAAACCGGAAACCTGCCGACGGGGCCAGAGAGCCTAAACAAGCATGGCAACAGCTCTCGAGGGCCCAAAGGGCTGCCCCTACGATAACCCAGCCGAGCCAAAGCCTCGTGCTCAACATGCACTTTCCTTTTTCGAGCTCCGAGGGGGCAAATGGGATCCTTCTGGTTGGTTCGGGCTTCCTACTAAAAATACGGATTTTCTACGGGTGTTGTACGGTGTTTCTCGGGTGTTTTTTTGCCGAACTGCGACGGAAGATGATGCTGGGCGAGTTCTTCGAGAAATCACGGCCGAACCTTGCAGCAAATTGCAAAAATAAATTATGGCCGTTCCCTCAAAAAGTACGGCCGTTCGCTTGAACATTACGGCCGTTCCCTGGAGAATTACGGCTGTTCCCTCAAGAATTACGGCCGTCTCTCGTCATTCCCGGCAACCTGCAGAATTGTGGCCAACACCATCAAAAGTGTCAAAAACTGGCGTTCAACTACTGTTTTGCATTTCAGCCCTCAGAACCCAAAAAGTTGCGTTTCTACCCCCCCCCCCCCCTCCCGGGATTGACTCGTGCGCCATCATGCAGCAACAGACATGCTATATCGTGCTGGTTGGGACACAGTGACCTAAGCATGTTGTTTGGAGTGAGCTTTCAAAGTGTGAAGATTTGACCCCAAAAACGGAAGCATCACTGCCTTGAACAATTACGGCCGTGTCTTGGAGAATTACGGCCGTGGGGAGAAATTACGGCCGAATCTGAAAAAAAAAAACAGTTTTTCTGGAAACCCCCAAAAAAATGCAGCTTTTTCAGGTTCAGGTATACATTGCCATGCACACTCGTGGGAAGCTGGCATCAATCATCTAGGCATCCGGGCCCGGACCCATCCTGCATTGACGAGATCTCCAAAGGCCAGGTGTTCAAATTGGGGGGTCTGGCGGGGAACCACCAGGACAAGCCAAGCATTTGCGGGTCCAAATCCCATCGGAAGCACCAAAAAAGCCAGTGGAAAATACGCCCCATAGAGGAAAAAGAAATCCTTCGTGGGGAAACCCCCTTTGGTTGGGCTAAAAGGAAGCCAGGGGAGACATGGACGAGTTTGGCGAGAACTCAAGGCTCGATCTTTTTGAGTTGGTACCCCTTTGTTGTGGTTGTTTCAAAAGACACCAAAAAAGAAAGCCCACAACATGATGGGTCTAAGAAAGACATGCCAAAATTTCAAGAACCCCCTGTCAACCAACTTGAGGGTCCATTTCCGAATCTTGAGACACCCCACTTGCCACTTAGGGGAATCTTGGCGGCAAAAGGGCGACGACCACCTCGGCCGAATTTTCAGGCACCGCCCTCCCATTGGCTCATAGATCTTGGTGGGCGAGGGAGGGGGCGGGGCTGTGGTGGGGAGCTTGGCATGGGGCTTTTTGCTTCGAAAGACTTTTCGGGGGGCCCTCGAGTTGGTTCAAAGGGAAACTAAATGGAAACCAACAATGTTGGGAGGGGTATGCTTTCAAGACCTTTCAAACCCTGAAATGCAGGGAACCGTCTTGTCCTTTCTCTCTCAGTTTGGCTCATGGCAACAGCAAAGAAAGGGGCCCGCCGGGTGGCCCACTCTCTGAAAGAAACAAACGAAAACAGGTCGATTTGAAAGGAAATGCAGGCTCACCCAAAGCAACATGTCAAAGGGACACCCACCAAGAAACAGCCTGCCACTAGAAACAAGCCTATCATCGCCTGAAGGAAAGCCAACCACTGCAAGAAACAAATCAAGATCAGAACACCCCCAATCACTCTCAACCAACCAACCTGCCTACCAACCAACGTACCAACCTACTTACCTACCAACCTACCAACCTACCAACCTACCAACCTACCAACCTACCAACCTACCAACCCACCAACCCACCAACCTACCAATCCACAACCCACCAACCTGCAACCAACCAGCCAACCTACCAACCTGCAACCAACCAGCCAACCTACCGACCGACCTACCAACCTACCAAAGTCGACCTGTTTTTCAGAAAATTTCCCGACCTTTGTGGATTTTGCTTTCCGGCCCATTTTAGTGGCTCGAAGTGGGGGCTTGGGGTGCGTCGGGTTTTCGGGTGGTTGGCAGCGGGCTTGGGGTGGGTTTCGGGTGGATTTCTCAGGCTGGTTGGTTGCAGGTGCAGAGCTTTCACAGCTGGGACTGAACCATGAAGCTGAGACCCGCGTTTGTTTTTTTGGGGGGTTGAACGTGACACAAATCATGGGCAGTGGGGGGGGGGGGGCTAGCAAAGGAAACTTGACAGAATTCGGGGTACCCCAGGCAAGACTACCGAGCTACCGACCACCAGCCAAACCAAGATGCCCAAAGGGAAGCCCGGCCAACCAAAAAAACACAACGGGCCCGCGGCCACGGACTCCGCACTCCGCGCCTCGGCATGAACCGCCTGAGCAGCTTGGACCAAGTTCAACCAACCAGTTGATAGGAGTGGTGTTCGGCCCCTCCAGAAGTGGTCTGATTCCAACCACGAAACCCAGAAATAGACACACCCCTATTGGTAAACTGGGGTTGATGAATATGGTGTCAACATTACTTGCTTGTGGATGGACGTAATCCTGTTCGCACAACTTTGAAACCATGGCAGGGTTTCTGAACGGTGCAGGAATTCGTCCATCCACAGTAGCAAGCAGGCTACATCCATGCGCATAACTGGGCCAATGGGGGCTAGTCCCCTTACGATGGCTGTAACCTACTAAGTGGTTTGAGCACGGTCCCCAAAATAGGCTTCCCAAGCCAAACCCAAACAGGTGCCCTTGACAAACTTCGCCACTATATCTCTAACTCCCTTCCAACCACGCTCGTTTTTGTTGTTTTTCCCCCGAGCTCCCTATATGTTGCCCAAGACCCGAACCCCTAAGAACCGATTTTGCAGTAAGCGCAGCGTTTGCTTCACAAGACATTCTCCCATGACCTCCAAGGAGACCCTAGGAAGGGTTTAGGATTGGCTACCCAGAAAGCTCAATAAGCCCTGGAAAAGCGCAGAATCTTAATTTAAATAAAAGCCCTTGTCTGGGCTGTTCAAAAATCGAGTGTTGGCCAATTCACAATCCCGATTCAGAAACCACTACAAAGGGGGCCCCTTTCATCACTAAAGGTAAGGATCTTGCGGATTGCCTTGAACAACCCAACTTGGTAAGTTCTGGTAAGTTCTCCCCGGTCGCGAAAAGAAGAAGAAAAAAACGGAAAACGGGGTGCCCAAAAGGCAACCCCTGAACTGCGTCCTTTCGATCGCAGTCGGAACTCCTGTCAAAAGCATGGCGCAGACACAGGCCAAAAAAAAACGGCAAAGAAATATACCCGCTGGTCCAACCATGGCGTATCCGCATTCAACGCAGCGGACGGGCGGCAGTTCCATATCACGCAAAGAAAGAAAATATCCACAATCATGGTTGGTGCTTCAAAAAATGGTTTTGACCCATGAACAACTTCAAGGGCGATTGTTGTCTTTCGTGTATTGGTGCTCAAATAGGTTTGATCCGAAAACTAACATGGCCTTCTTTGCCACTTCCCGCGATGGGAACCTCTTATGGAAACCTCGTCGTGAGGGCCGACGTCCCAGAAAGACATTTCCCACAACCCGAATAAAATGGACACATATGTTTGCAAAAAAAGGTGAAAAACCCACTACATCAACGGGGTTTTGTCTAGTTCCTCGGCATTCATACGACGGCACGGTGCATTTTGAGCCTGCGAGGTAGTATATACCCCCTTTTTACCTCCGCAACTCCAAAACCTGTTCGAGTATGCGTCAAAATAGGGGGGCATGGTTGGTTGGCCTTTGGCTAACTCCGAAAGGGGCTCAAGAAAGCGCTCACCGTCATACCTGAACATGCCCAGGAGAACTGTCGTATCTCTGTTTGACAATCCTGTTGTCTTTTTTTCGCTTTTGTTTTCTGTTTTACATAGGGAGACCCCAGAAAGAACCACAAACAAAAAGTCGTTCTGGTCTGACTTCCCGCTGAGCCACCAAAACGGAAGCGCCCCGAACCGAGCGCCAGCCGAAGCCCCGCCTGTCGGGAGTAGTCCGCGGGCAGCAGCGTGATGGTGGTGCCTTCCACCTTCGAAACCAGCCGACTCGAGGCACGAGATGACTCGAGCGGATTTTCTTTGGGGGCTGATTCCTTGATCAGGATTTAGGGGCTGATTCCTAGGAAGATCAAGGAATCAGCTTATTTAATAGGCGCTTTTCCCGATCGGGTTTTGTTTGGGGATTCAGACCACTTTTGCAGGGGAACACCCCCATATCAAGGGGCAGGTTCCTGTTCCATTCTTCTCAACCATCGTTCTTTCCAAAAAATACGGATCCGTTTTCCCGATCGGGTTTTTGGAGTTTTCCAGAAAGAAGGATCCCTGGAAAGAATGGGGAAGGTACCTGAAGAGATTTGTCAAAACACCAAAACACACTCCAAATAAAAACATGGCACCTCACAGATAGGAGCAAGGTGCACAGAAAATAGAGAATATATATATATATATAATATTTCACTGAACCCTGGTCATGCAGGTCTTCTAAATCAGATGGTAGTTGGGTGAGTCCCCCGAATGTGGGCAACTGCTTGTTGAGCACTGGATCCCAAAGCGGTGGCATTTTGAGGAGTTGAGCTTTCAAAATCTCTATTGAGCTGCCAGTTCGAGGATTAGCTGCCCCTCTTAAAAGACACGTTTGGGGTTGGGGGGAGAGATTGAGCCGACTTTTTGCGTCAAGACATGGTTGGAAAGCGCAACCATGCCTTGAACGAGCCAAAAAAGGGTACACCCGCATCTGGGTTACCCTGGGTTTGTCTCAAAAAAGAAAAGTGCTTGGTTCGTTTCAAAGGGATACTGGAAGCCGTTGGTTCGAGCATCTACCCCGAACTCCGAACTCAAACCCGTCCGTTTGTTGGCAACCCGGAGCGATTGACATGAAACCTCAAATATTCGCATGGGGCGAATCGTAGGTGCTCCACTCTGTAGGCTTCCAAAGCCGCTGACCACCCGACACAAGCTGAAAAAAAGCCCCGCAAGCTTAGGGCATAGGTGGACTTTTGGAAACATAGATGGGCCTGGTAAATGGAATAAACCCCACCTAAACCAGTGGAACCCATCTATTTGTTTAAAAAGGACACCTATGGCTTAGGGCCTGCAGCTAGCGCAGCTCAGGCTGGCGGTGCGAGTGACTGGGGCTGAAAGAACCGTCTTCGATGTCGCGGGTTCGCCTGGAAACTCCTTCGAATGGTTAAAAGAGCGAATCTCGGTTGCGAACTCTGCTCCCCTTCTAAAAGTTCAAGTGGCTTAATGGAAAACCAAATAGTTGGCAAAAACTTAAAGTCCTAACATCCAAAAAAGAATGCAACAAAGGAGTCACATTCTTTCTTTTTCAGTTTGTTCAAGAGGACATGGGAAACAAGTGGCTTTGGTTGAAATTTTGGTTGTCCCCCAATGGCCTCCCCAAACCTACCCAGTTGTGTAACTTTGAACAACAGCAAACCCAGTCTTCCACTGTTCCTCCCAGTTTACTCAGGGGGTGGCATAGAAAAAGGACGCATCAACCTGGAGATGGCCGCAGTCCGTCGACCCAATCAAGGGGTGTCCCCCCAAAAGCGACGCCCCGATGAGACTTTCAAACGAATCCCGTGGGTTCCTGCCAACACTTCGGCCTGAAAACGTCCCTGAGCCTCAAAGTGCAGCGGGAGACCCTCGGCAAAGCGGCAGTCCACGCCTGACGCAAGGAAATCAAGCGCCCCCCCCGCCCGGATGTTCGACGTCTTTTGTTGAGGCGCGGTACCCTTTTCTTGTTGTAAAGGGACACCAAAAGGAATTCCGAGGCCTCTCTTCTTTCTTTTGGGGGGGATCATAAGAAACAGACACGCCCACTTCGTATTTAAGCAGGCCAGAACCACAGGGGAAAAGAACGGCTCGTTGAGCCTATTTGGATATTCTGGGGTAGGTTCCGGGTCCCCCTGAACAAGTTGTTGACTCAGTGGACTATTGGTCCAAGATCCGTGGTTGGGGCTCCGTACTTATCCTTACCCAGAAAGCTTAAGGCCTAAGCCCCACACCAAAGAGAAGCATGGCACCAAGGGGGTGATGTGAGCCCTGGCGTTATGTCTAAATGGAGACAAGATCCCAGCCGAACGTGCGGATCGGTGTGGAAGTGTTCTATATTCTGACAAATCATGTTGTTGCTGGGAAACACTTGACACCCCAAACAAACATCAGTAAACTCAGTAAACAACATGCACAGCAGCATAACTTGCTTCCCGACTGTGTCAGTTTCGGTACACTTCGCACCAGTCATATCAACAGACAGAAACACTTTTTGAGGCCACGTCGCACCAAACCTTGCAATGGATGGCCCCTTTTCCGCTTTGGGAGCCCCATACCGGTCGCTGATCTCCTATGCACAGGCAGGTTGTTCACAACCAACAAAGGCTCAAGGGGTCATGGCGCGCCCGTGTCCTCGGATACTCGGGAGGTTGTGGGTTCAAGTCCTGCTGGCCCTATTTGCGCACTGCCATTGTCGTAGATCGTATCCTGAATTTGGTTGGCAACAAGCTGCAGACGAGGCACAGCGCTTTCCTCAGTTCAAACAAACGCTTCTTTTGTCAAGGGTTGACAAGTCACATGCCCCCCCTTTCCCCCAATCCCCCCAACCCCCCCGGCCAATCTCTTACAGCCGAGATCCGCAAGCGAGATGCGCCCCAACCGCTTTTTCGCCCGCGCGCAAGGCGGGCATCAAGCGACCAGGAGTTGGCTCTCCTGACCCGAAGGGACTTGCGGCCCCGAGATGCTCAGGGAGCCTGTTCGCGAGCCCCTCGTTGCCCAGGTGTTTAATATTTAAGGGGGAAATGAGGAACTGAAAGATCGCTTGAAACAAAGAAGGCAAGGGAACCTGACTGAAAGATAAAAACCGCTCCTTTCGAGCTATGAGTTAAGGGAAAGAAAGGCAAATGAAAAGGGTGGGGGAGGGGTCCCCAAAGCCAACCCACCCGAAAACTTTATTGTAACCAAAACAAAACCGTGCACCAAACCAAAGAGTCAGTCACGTCCCACCATGAAACAGGGGTCAAACCTAGATTTCCCCACACCAAAAGCTGATCAACTTGCTTGTGGGAAACCCCTTTTCACACCAACCCAGCAGGATACCCTCCAGCAAAAGGCACCCCCCGCAACCCCCTTTTCTCAAATGGAATGATGTGGGTCTACTTCCCGTGATACCCCCTTGCGCGGCAGGTGTGGGTAAGGAAAATGGCGGGATGGTTCTGTTGACCAGGGGGGTCTTTTCGCCACCTTTTGTGAGAAAATTGGCGACCCCCTTAAAAGGAATCCTTCACTACGAGGGGGTCGAACAATTTTCCACAAGTGGCAAGACGACCCCCCTGCTGTTGACTTCCTGTTCCGCGAGTTTGGGGCTTTGGGTCAGGAGGACCTGGACTCCATGGGGAAGCGCGTCCCAGATCCTCGCTATTTCCCGGTTTTTGGCAGATGTCGCAGACCCCTTTAATGGCAACCCTATACCACTCTCAACACAATCGGGGATAGATTGAACCCCCAACTAAACAGGCCATGTTTACATGCAAACGTGGGTTTCACAAAGCAAACTAGAAGCGGGTATTCGCAGTTGGCGGCAGGAATAAGCTCTTGTCTACCATCATCATGTTCGTACAGGGCAGCAATATCTAGGACACATCCAAATCGCACCAGATTCCTGTTGCCCTTTGAAAACTGCCCCAGAGCCTCAATGCGTCCCCGATTTTGGTGCAAAAAGCACAACGAAGTGTGGGGACAGCGCCCCACCCCTCCTCGAAAGATGCCCGCGGTCAAACATTGGAGGACTCCGGCGGGAGATCCAGACACCATCCACAACCAGACTTGTGGGATATACATGCGCAACAAATCTCGCCAATCAAAAGGTCGAAATCTTTCAAGCCAAAAAGGGAACTATATCCCTTTCAATGTCCGAACGTCAAAACAAGCTCCCTCTAAGATCCTCTAAGAGTTTAACAAGACTATGTATCGGTCTAGGGAACCCCGCTCGAAATCTTTGAGCTCTCTCCATAAATACCTCATTTGGGGATCTCTCGCTTGAGCCCACAACCGCCAGTCCTGAGCTGGCCTGCAGTCTCCAGACTCCTCAAGACAAAGAACCAGACAAAACACACCCGCCTTTGCTTGGTTGCCCCTCTGCAAAAAGTGTTGCATGTTGTGCCCTCCACCGCAAACTTCACTGTTCCCAAAAACAACCAAATAGCGATAAAGTTTGGTTTGAAAAAACATAGGGATGTGCCAAGCGGAACCCCAAAATTGGGCACAAGCAAGAAAAACAGAACGTCACAAGCGAGAAAAACTCGCGTCACAAGCGAGGTACCGTTTGGGGAGGGGGGTGTCCCACTCTGCGGAGGAAGCACAACTTGTTTTGATTGAAACTTGGGCTGTGGGACGACTTCACCTTGTATCAATTTGTTGGAGCCAACGCGCACACACACACACACACACAGAGAGAGAGACACACCAACACGCAAACAATCAACCACACAAACACATAAACACGCAATCACGCAACCACGCAAACACGCAGACAAACAAACACGCAAACACAAGCACAATGTCACAAGCACAATGTCACAAGCACAAACACAAGCACAAACACTGCAAAACACACGCACGCAATTCATGTGGAGGACACGAATCATTCGTAATTACTCGCCCAGGCCTGACCATGTTTAATGGAGTTCTGTCTAGGGGCCGTTACACCCCCTGCAAAAGTTGGCCATTTGCTGGTAGCGACTGTTAAGGATGCTGCACCCTCAATTTGTCTACCGGGTTCGGGGTGAAGGTTCTCAAAACATTGAGAAACCGGAGAAAAGGAAGTCCCTCCCTCCCTCCCTGCCTCCCTCCCTCCCTCCCTCCCTTCCTTCCCTTCCTTCCCTCCCTCCTTCCTTCCTTCCTTCCTTCCTTCCTTCCTTCCTTCCTTCCTTCCTTCCTTCCTTCCTTCTTTTCCAACCACGTTGGCGTGAAACGGAAATGAAGTCCAAGCAAAGGACCTTCATCAGTCTCCCCTCAAAATAGAATGTGCCGAGGATGGTGTCCTGGCTTCCCTCAAAGCATCCAAAAGAGGATGCTTAGCTTTGAGTGAATGAAAAGCAAAGAATCTTTTGACGTGCTTCACATCTGGGGTACGGAAAAACACATTTTAAGATGTTGTTCATATTTCGTCCATGCCAAATAAACAATTGGCGCGGCTTTTTTGTGAGGGTACCCTTTTTGTATTTGTTTTTGGGCACCACTACTTGTTGGGGGCTGTGCCTCCAAGCCCCAAGTGGAGCTCGACCCTGTCTGCCATTCGGCCGCACCTGGCAGGAGGTCTGAAGCGCAGGCAGCGAGATGACCTGCGGCTCGAAATTCCAAGCGCGCCGCTCGGCGAGCGGCTTTTTGCGAAACCAGCTCGGCCCAGTTCAGCCCGAAAGGGGAAAAGGAAACCCGTTCGGCCCAAAAGGTTATCCCAAAAAGCCAGTATTCTTATAATCAACTTTCTCCGCTTTGCGAGTTGATGGGTTTATCTCGGCGAGCTTCATGAATTCCCAACTGCTGCGAAGTGGAATTTGCCCAGCCGCGGTAGGGCACGGCTGAAAACTGCGCGGCTTGGCAATGCCGTCAGAGCAGATTCTTGGTAAGGCCTACTTGCCCGCTTCCCTGTGACACTGTGGTGGCAAGCATGGAATTAAACCAGCAAAGCCGCGCTCGTCTTTACGACCCTTTAAGATACACAGGCCAAATTTAGTGAGAATGCGCTTGGGCACTTCAAAACCAAATTTAGTCACAAGTATGCAACCCGATTATTTGTAGATACTTGGGCGTGTCTTTTGTTGAGGGTATCGTTTTGGGGGTTGTAGAGGGAAACCAGAAGGACAACACCAATTTGGCGGGTTGTGGGAGATGGACTCCACAGCTAGCTGCGGTGCGTTCGGCGGCCAGCCACAAATCAGACGTTTCTGATGGTCGACATGAAACCAAAACAAGCATGGGTAGATTGGGTTCACATAGGGGAGTTTGATCAAAAGGTGCGTTACATGGCATGACCAATGCGGGGGGGGAAAAAAAGATGACTTTCCCAGTATATGTCAAAAGTTGCCCATGGTCATTTGGCCGGGAATATTGATCAGAGCCCGATATGTTGAATGGAGATCGCAGGTTGCAGAACCCCAACCCCACTGCCAAATCATTGAATCATTTGGTTGACTCCTCTATCGCAGTAAATGCTTCCAAACAACTCATTTCCACGTTTCCAGGTATTAAAACAGTGGGAAGCACGCACAACAGTTGACTACCTTTAGTGACTTGGTTCAGTGGATTTTCCTCAGCAGAATTCCGACCAAGCGACTCACCGCATGATTGCCCTACTTAGAGATCTCCTGACGGACCTGGGAGTATACCATCCGCTTGGGGGTGCTGGGCTCACAAACAAAGAAACCGGCAAAAGTCCAAATCCTATGTCGGGTCAAAACCCTTTGCCTGAGGATTTGCCCCCTTCAAGCCCCTTGCTTGATTCCGGTCGAGCCAAAACAATGTGAAGAATTGAAGGCTTCGGCTTCTGGCTGCACCACTTTCTGGCGGCTGTTCATCTACCCAGGTTTGAGTGTGGCTCCCGACTTGGAAAGCCAAAGGGTCAGACAAGCCCCGAATCGTACGCTTGATACTGGCACCCCAACATAAGCCTGGGGGGAATGCCCAGTTGTTTTTTAAACAAGCCCATTCGACTGGTCAATCAACCATTTGGTTGCTTGTATTTAAAGACCCTTTCGCTACGGATTCAAGGACCTTCCCTGATATCTGCCGGCTTTGCACCCTCATGTATAGCTACGCGCAGAAAAAAGGGAAGGGGGAGGTTCCCAGCACGTTCTCCATGAAACTTGGCTCACCCGCGGGTTTACCCGGCGCGCCTCCAAGGATGGGCCTGTCGGCGACCTTTTCGCGCCCACCCGTCAAGACTCTTTCAACACTTGTCGGGCTGCAAAAGGGTTGGCTGCAAAAGAACGCAGGTTGCAACCTTGGCCGATCACACTGGAACCCTTTCAATCGTGGGCATATCGCCAAGCGGCCCAACCCCACCCCCAAAAAGGGGGCAAGCCACAAAGGGTATCCATGGGTGTGGGTCAAAATTAAACCACTAGTGGACCGCGTTCATGTCTCCATGTACTAAGGTTCCATTTTGGGGTTACCCTATTTTTGACCCACAGCCACGGCAGCCACATGGGTGCACCACATTCCATTTGCGAAAGTTAGCCATGGGGTGAAACATGAGAACATGCATCCACACCAACGGTCCTCTTGGTTGCTGTAGCGACATGGAAAATCCGCTGTTTCCACAAAAGTTGAAGTCAAAAGATCCAACCAAATAGACGTAAAGAGGCGAAGTGACAATGCCGGGCTGTGCTACAGGGTTATCTTCGAGACATCTGAGGATCCACTGACCCCGTGGACCCAAAGTGGGACATCCGAGAAATCTCCATGGGAGCAAAAACAAAACAATGAAGTGGAGGCCGCAAATTGAGGAAAGTAGGGCAAGAGTTGGGCAAGGCTGGTTTGGATCCAGCGAGTCTCCAATATGTCCACAAAGGGACAACAAAACACATGCTACTAATCTGGAGAGGCTTAGTCGTGAACTGGCCACTGTCAACCACAAAATATTTGAGCTTTGAATGAGTCAGGCTTCACTAGTTGCGCTATGTTTGACGCCAAACACCCACATACAAGTCTGCGACACATTCGACGATGCTCTGACACTGAAGATAGCCACCCAAACGTCTGCGCCCATGACGCCATGCACGCAGCATCATCTGCAGCACATCATCTTGCGAGATGGCCAGAGATAGCTGCCACATGTTGGGAGCTTCTGCGTGCGCGGCCTCATCTGTCGACTTGTGCAGCACGATTGCGAGTGCAAATGGGGCCGGCCCCTAGTAATTGAAGCAAATCCGGGCCTGACACTTCGCACTTGCAGACAGCCAGCGGCTGCCACAAACGATGCAGGGATCCGGATCTGCACAAGGGATAACATTATATCCGTTCTTAGGAGCTACGGAGCATGCGGACGCCCCAAACGGTGAAACTACCAATCAAAAAGGTCAAACAAAAATCCAGATCTGACTATCAATCTTGGTTGAATGTTTCGGTGTGTGCCCCTTGCGAAATTGGATCCCTGCACTGCACTTCTCACCTAGAGGGGGGGAAGCAACACAATCTCAGCGTGTGCCCATTTGAACATGTCCATACGTAAAAACCTGGTCCATAGTCATTGGATTCCGTTCCATATGTTGATCGGAATGGGTGAGCCCTTGATAGTTTCTAGGAGAATAAGGCCTTAAGACTGCTTGCCGGACAAAGCCAAACATGAGCAGAATCAACAAAACTAGCTATCAGCATGAACAAACACGGAACTGCAAAATGAACCCATCCTCTTGAAGTTGTCCCCGCCCACTTTGATAATTATTGAAAAAAGCTCCCTTGTCCAAAGGACCCGGAAATACAAGATGATCACCTTTGCGGTTGACCCCTTTGTGGCAAAGGGGGAAGCCACTTGGTTTCCATGAATCGTTTCTGGGGGGCTTTGGGGAGTAAACCGGGGAAAACGCAAGTCGCATTTGCCCAAAGGACCTGGACATACAAGGTTAACCTTTTGCAACACTTGACAAACTATGGACCAAATTAGTTAGAAAGGTCGGCCCCAACATGGCCCCATGGGGAAACCAAAACGGAGACCAAGAAGATGAGGGGAGACCAAAGGGTCGTCTTTGAGCAACATGAGAATAGTCTTCCACTAAAACCGGCACGCCCAAATGTTCATCCCATGTAAAGGACGTTTTGATCAACCCCCATGTTCCGGACCGTGGAAAGTGCCTGGGCTGTCCGGGCGATGGGGTGTGCCGGGCCAGCAGCAGCCTCGTCCCTTGCTCCTCCCGAGTGTCCTGAGGCGAGGTGCTTCAGCCACAGCCTCTTGCCTCCCGGGGCTAGGGTTGGGTGCTCTGTTGTAGGTCCAATTTTGATAAAGGTTCCAAAAGGTTAACCTTTCATTTCCAGTTTTTGTTGGCAACTTCCATTGGCTTAAGAATATACTGATTTGTAGGGGAATCGATTTCACTTCTGGACATATGTTCTCAGGCCTGTTCTCATTTGTCCAGGGGGCGAACCACTAAATGGAAGGTCGCCGGGGTTGTTGTTTTTGAACCTAAGAACATCGCCGGAAACTTACCTTGTAGCCGAAAAGGGACATTTATGGGGACCCTGATTGCTTTGGGAATCCGGCGATTCCGCTGAACTATTCAAAAATCAACGAGCTTGGGGCCGTGGGGATTCGTGTGGGGGGAAACAGCTTTTTGGGGTTGCTCCAAAAAAAAACCAGAGAGGAACGGCACCTCTGGGGGACTCAAACCAAAAAGAAGTCATGATCATAAGAACCAGGATAGTGTCCATGGTCAGCTAAGCTCTTAAGGTGAACAACTTTTGGCGGAATAGGTCATACCCTCAAACCCCAAGACAAAAAGCTGGGAACAGTTTCAATGGGCTGTTGAGCTCTCAAAGCGAACAACTTTTCGCAGGATATGTCACACCCTCTACCCCCGCAGCAAAAACTCCAAGGGGCCATCTGACTTTTGGCAAATTGTGTCATACCCTCTACACCCCACACGTCTACAAGTCTACTGGGAGCCGCCAAGGTACCTGGGCTGCCCTCAGATCCCCTGCCAAAAGTTTAACTTTTAGTGGGTGACATGGGTGTGGGTCAAAAATATGTACCCCAAATGGAACCCTAGTAAATGGAAACAGGGACTAAAACCTGCGGTCCATATCCTGGTGGTTTACTTTTGACCCATACCCACATGGAAATATCCAACCACTAATCCCTAAAAAGCTAAAAGGCTGAGGAACCGGATGGCTGGGAGCCCTCAAGGTACGGATCGTGGAGACCTCTTTCGGACACCCGCCTCCAAGAGGCAAACAGCCGCTGCGGAGGGCCTCGGATCCATACCTCCCAAGGCCTGCCTTTCTCCCAGGGGCAGATCTTAAATAACCCGGTGTCCCATGGGAAAAACCTCCTGGTTTCGTCAGGGGCTGATATCATTTGACATTCCCTGGAAAAAGCTGCTATTTGGAGTAGGGGGAACCCCTGAGTGAAAGGGTAGCATGATTATAGAAGGAACTGGGCAAGCTATCTCACCGGCTGAGTGGATGGCCCAAAAAAAGTCCAAACTTTAAATGTCCCACTAAATGTGTCTTCCCAAAAGTTTAAAATTCATGAACTCAAGATAGACTGACCCCGGGGAGTGAGGCAAGAATTGCCCAAGCTCACTCACGCAATTCTTTACCAGTCACCAGTCACGGTGGCAGTCGGCACAGGCCACCTCGTGACAACCGCCGGTCTTTTCCAAGGAACGGGCGAGTTCTATGGGAAAAGAATCATCCATATTGGCAACCCACAGGACCATGGAGAGCAGTCAGAAAAGAAAATGAAGCCCCAAAAAAGACAAGCAAAGCAACCCCAAATCCCATCCAAATCCAGAATGTCCAACCCCGAAACCCCACAACCCCTCAAGGTTGTGAGCACGTGTTGGTCAAAACTCCGTAGCCATGGTCCCCTTCAAAGGAACCTCTACCTTTGACCACACCACAAGGCCAACCGTTCGATATGCAAAACGCGCAAGCTGCCCACCTTCCAAGGACGATCAAATGGTACCCTAAGCTCCTGAACAGCCAGGCTGGTAAACTAACACCCAGGTTGCTCCAAATGGGTGTGTCCTTTTTAGTGGACCCCCAAAATTTCGGTTTTCCCTTCGGTGTTCCTTTAAAACTACCCTTTAAGCAAGACAGACCCGAATAGACCCCACGCGTTTTTCCTCGGTGGAGGACACGCACTCGGGCGCCGGGCACTTCGAAGCGCTGAAGCAGCGCAGCCTCCTGCAGGTCCCAGGCATCCAGCAAGTCATCTTGGAGCACCTCATGTCGCTCGGGACTGTTTTCTCGGTTGCTTTCTGCTCCCCTGCTAAAAGTGAATAACGTTTAGCGTTTTTCCCTGCAACAAGTATATATTTTTTGGTGGTTTAATGGAAAACCCATTAGTTGGCAAAAACTTTAAAGTCCTAGCATCCAAGCAAAATGCACCAAAGTTTTCTTGCGCTTGGGGAATGACCGAGTCCGAGTCCGAGTCCTTGGTGGAATGAACCGGGGGGGGAGTCCCGAAAGGAACCCATCAGTTGGATGGTTTTCATCATTCCATTTCTCATTCCCTGAGAACCAGCAAGTTTTTTTGGGGATGGGTCTGCATAATGTATGGTTCGAGCTCAAACATTTGGGAACGAGCGAACCTTTTCCTGGAGATCCGGTTCTTATTTCAGATTTTAGAATGATTGTAAAATTTGCAGATGGCTGCCTCGTCCTTTTTTTGAGGCTCGCTACCTTTTTGTGGATGGGTAGTTCAAAGGTTTTTGTTGCACGGTCTCTTGGCAACCACAAGGGGAAAAAGCCGACGCCGTTTTGGCTCTCAGTCAAAACAAGGTCCAAAGTCACTTTTTCGGCCGCAAGATCTAAATGACTGGTGCAAGTCCACAAGGCGTGCGGCCAAGAAGTGTGAGCCGCAAGACTGGCAGTAAGGACTGGACTCAAAATAGGATAGGTACCTCCTTTTTGTTTGAGGGGAGGGGAACAGAGGGAGCTTGGTTTAGAAGGGAAACAAGCAGACACACCAAACGCATGATCTTCTTTTCTTTTTTTGGGGGCGGGGCCTGGGGGGGTGCTGTGAATCAAAGGGACTCTTCACTGGGCTCCCCTCATAGTGGAAAGGACAATTCATATTGTTTGGCCCCCCACACCAGATATATTCCGCCCGGCATCAGGATATGACGCCAACCCCTGACTCAAGGCAGGTATTGACCTTCGAAAACAAGAAACCGTATTTTGCCGCCGACTGCGTATGCACGCTGCACATCTGAATTCGAACACCTGAATTTCAAGAAATGCTTCCAACAAAAACAAGTGGAGGGCACTCACATCCCAAGTCGCGCCTTCCCTTTTCCTTTCCCGGTTTCTCCTCAACACCAATGCCCAAAGTGGGTCATGGACGGTCATGGGCAAATGTAGAACTCCTCAGCCAAATCGTCGATTGAGCCAGGCACCAGCAATATCTGCCCGTGCTTCAGCAGGTGAAGTGCCTAGACAGGGGTCTTGTTGTGCTCACAATGACCCTATGGGTCGGGCCCAAAACTTTTCAATGGTCCTTTTCCCCTTCGGATGGCCCGATGCCTAGGGAACGTCTACTATGCACCAGCCTGAAATAAGGAATCCCCAAGAAGGAGCTCGCGGTTCACCCAGGCTCCTGCCGCAATGACTTACACCCTTTGTCCGCGGCACAAGGCGGAACTTCCAGAAAAAAACGAAAAAACTAACCCTGGAAAGATGATATAGAACCGTCGGAATTTGTGGGATGGCACGGAACCTTGGAAGTCTCCTTGACAAATGGATGGCATTGAGAACTGATCGACACCGAAGTCACCGTGGAATCCTTGCTTTCCAGCCAAGCATCTATGAACCTGACTTAAAAGGACACTTGACACTTGAGACGTCAATAGTTCATCAAGCTCCACTGTCATTGGGCAGCTGTATTTTGGCAAAGCCATTTGCATATGTCTCCTGGAAAAGCCATATCTTCGTAGACTCCCTTTGACCCAACTGGGGAAAGTCACAACATCTTCTTAAGCAACTGGCGGCGAATCCGCCCTTTGCCGGCGACCCCCGGAGACTCGGAGCTCGACCTGCACGTGGGTGTAGTTGGCCTGTCGAAGCGCAGCGAGTGTTCGAGTGACCCCCTTTCGCCCCCGGCTGAAAAGGGGAGAAAACCCGAATGTTCAGCGAACATGCACTCTCCAAGAGTTGCCCCATTCTTTCAAGCAGATGTTGATTTGTGACTGGGGGGTATGATGGCACGTTGGAAACCCGGGCGTGCAACAAACATGTGCGAACTTACGCATCATCGGACCCTCCACTGAAAGGGGGAGAGAAAAAAAAAGGGGACTTCCGCTGGAAGGTCTTGAGCCTCAAGAAGGGGCCTTTCTCATGTGATGCTGAGGGTTTAGAAGACGAGACGTTTTCCGACCTGGACACCGCAACTCGTGAGCTCCAGGTCACCCCATGGATTGATTTTTTCCGGTCTGGCAGCTTCTTCGCGTCTCAAGTTTGGAGCCCTCACACGGCGCTGGTTTCCCTTCAAACCCTGGTGGCCGGGTTCCTTTTGAGCAAAGGTCATGTGGATCGGCTTCGGCTCGTGTAGGGTTCAAATCCCCAAACCGATTGGAGGTACGAAGGAGACCTTGGAGACTTTGGAGACCCCACGGTGGCTTCAGTTCCATTCTGCGCACCGAGTACACGCGTCGTGGACTGAAATCTGTTTGTTTGGGTTCGGAAACTCCAACAAAAAATGTTCCCTTGCCCACCACCCTCAAAAAGGTACTAAACTGTGCTGGCTTCTGTCCTCAGTCTTTGATCGAAATCCCGGGGCCGAATCACAATCCGTAATCCGCTTAACCCTTGTTCTGGTTGGTCATCTTCTTTCTGAAGGAGCCTCCGTTGAAGCGTGGACAATCCACACGACCCAGAATCAGTAGTCCGCAAACAGCACTGTCTAATCCGTAACCCGCATAATCCGCCCACATAATCCGAAATCCGCAAATCATTAGGGATTCAGCTTCGAACAGGCTAGTCAGTGGCAAAATGAAGGGGCATGAGCTCCTCGGCTTCTTAAAGGCTTGGGTCAGCATCCCTGCCCCAGGGGTCTCCAAATGCCCGCTGCCTTTTATGTCAACCCACGAAGAACCGGAGGTATTTGCTGGGTTTTCCCCGGCTTTTGGCTTTTCACCATCTAAAAGCAGGCCGAAAGTGGGGCTCAGGTTCCACGTTTAGCCTGAGGACTGAATGCCGAGACCTGTCTCTCTGACCAAGAAATCTTCAACAGCTCGATTTCTCTCGCGTCCTCATGCTGCTTGCAGCCGAGGCCAAGCACAGCCGAGGCCTGCGGAGCAATGGCTTCCACCTTCATACAGCGACTTGTGATGGGCATGTTGGTGTGTAGTTAGAAAAACGGAAGAATGTTTTCCTTTAGGTTCCCTTGCCTCCTTTTGAGGGAATGCGTCAGTTCGTTCCCAAAACCGTTGATGATTGTGAATGAGCAAAAACCGACTCATGCCAGTTGGGATGAAGCCTTGTGAACACTTGGATAAACGACCTACCAACCAACTGGTGTGGTTCTCCATCCAGCATGCTCAGCCCCTCACTAAAACAGGGAATATTGAAGAAGGGAAACGCTGTCCAAAGCAGGGTCACTCTTAATTCGTGAGCAATACCCGCTTGCTTGGGGCACAGCACAATTGGTCCCCGTTTTGCACCACCGCTGAAGCAGAAATTTAAAGCTGGGATTGCTTGTTGCAACCGAACGTGTCACACGACGCTATGGTCAAGTATGCTGGCCTTCCGAATTTCGCCTCGCCACCGAAACTCGTTTCCAAGGAAACGCTGAGAAAGCCCAAGCCAAAAATGCGGCCTTGGCAACTGAAATCGTGGCCTTCCATGGGTCTTCGGGGCCAAGCTGCCTTTTTCTAACGCGGCGACCCTACATTCGGCCCGACACTTTATAGCAGCAAAAATTGGCCCGACGCTCTTACTCAAGCCGAAGCTGAAATTTAGTCTTCGCTTGAAGTTGAAGTTGGCGCCTGGGTTCGCGACGCGGATGCTACGCCGCTGCACCACTGTAGTTGCATGTTGCGCTCAAAGATGTTGAAACCACGCTTAGGCCTGGCGAGTGCAAACTCTACGTGGCCCATGCGCAAGCAGGGGACAAGGCCTTGTTGGCACTGACCGGCACTCACATTCGGAACCAAGTTCAAAAACTTGGTGGCATGAAGACGAGACATGTGAACCTGTTTCTTACCGTGCGGGCCTATCTTGGTCGGCGCGGCTGACAGATGCGGCCTCTGGTTTCGGAATGCTTCTGGAGTCAGACTTGCCAAGAGGGGATTCGCGCGGAAGTGCAAAGCAATAAACGAACTCGATCAACATCACCCTGGGGCTGGGGTTCAACAAAACCAGCTGTTACAAGCAGGCCATACCGGAGTTGAAGAAATTGAGCAAAAAGGCTCTCTCCCTCTCTTTTTCGCCTGTCCCCTGCATTCGTCTCTATCTCCCTGCCCTTCTCTATCTTCCTGAGAGAACAAAAACAGCTGCCACAGCCATTGGATGCAGTCAAACATCCTGAGGCAATCATGCTGACTGACCTTTTTTGAAATAACCGTGCTCCCCTCAAAATATTGCTGGTTCAACCCTGCCCGCCATTTTGTTGATGTAACCGTGTCTCTTGGGATCAGGTACGCATATGCCTCTGGGTGCCCAAACCCCTGACAAAGGGTTTATCTCTTGATGGCTAATTACGCAGGCTGAAAACTCGCAACAGCAGGCAGCTCTTCTGTGTCTCTTTCTCTTTCTTCTATGTCTCTGATGCTTACCTACCTTTCTCCATCTATCTTTCAATATATCCACTATCCTTTGACAGCTTCGAATTCAGCTTGCGCGGACATGTTCGGCCTCGACCCGGAATACCGTCTTCGCCGATTCGGCTTCAAATTTTGTTCGCGGGCAATTTCGGCTTTGCCCCTCTAGCACCAATGATGTCAGATTCGAATTTCGGCTTCGCGGCCGTTTTCGGCTTCGCGCTATGTGTAAACGGTCATCGCATTTAAGCTTCGTCGTCTTCGCGTCTTCGGCCACCCAACATCCTGGCTCAATGTGCTTAAAAGGGTGTGGTATGATGTCAAATGAGGTCAGTCCCTGACAAGAAAAGACTCTTACCATGGAAGACTGGTTCTTCAACATCCAAATGCAGTTCCCCCGAAACCTCCAAATCTCCAGCTTTTTCAAGGCTACAAAACGCTGGTTGCTTCAGGATTTACATCATACCCTAACACAAGTGACCATTACAGGGCCGAAACGGTTTCCACACCAAATCAACTGACCCCGGGGCAACATAGAAAAAATACTGCTGTGTAGGACTAAGCCTGTATATGGCTTGCATTTTGAACCTTATTGGCAACTTGTTCCCTCGACAGTTTCGTGCCTTGGGCCACGTCGCTCTGCCTCGGCCAGGGCACTCAAAACACTACGCCCAAGCGCTGGCACCTCACCAAAACGGAAGCAGTTCATTGAAACCGGCTCTCTGTCATTTCCCTTCAAAGCTCTAAAAGGCCCCAACATGAGTTGCTTGGAGTGTATAGATGGCACACACACCTGCAGCTGAAAACGAGAAATCCGGTTCGGCCCGGTCTGTTTCACCGCAGCTTTTGAGTGGATTGGCCCAAAGGTCTACCCATCCCGCCACTAAATAGCATCTGTGGTCTTCTTGTAGGGACCCCCTGTCAGGTGCCATGTTAGTGGGAGTAAGGCTAAGCTTCTTTTTTTGTACACCTCTAAAAAGTACGAAGTCCAGAAACTCAGAAGGAGTGAGCTGCAGTGGTTCCGAGCTTGCTTTTCCCCGTACTCCAGGCATACTCGTGTTTTGTTCGGCGGCTATGATGTCCTCCCCTGACGAAGCTACCATGGAAAGCCCGTCTGAAAATCGGCCGTGGGAGGACCATTCTCGTGGGGGGGGGGGAAGCCCCCCTGTCCACTTCCATGAGTGTTGGACAGAGGCGCGAGATGCCAAGCCCCGAATTTTGGATCCGAGTTCGCGAACTGGATCCGGGTTCGCGGCGGGTGGTTTTCAGCTCGTCCTTTCTGGGGCCCAACCAGGCTGGTGGTTTTTTTTAGCTCGGTGTCCTCGAACAAAAAAAAACAACAAGGGGTACCACCGGAAAAAAGACAATCCTGAGGCTAACCAAGAGATCCGGGTACCCAACGATTCCAACGAGACCGAGTATGCCAACAGCGCTCCACCTTTTTGAATGGGTGACAAATGCCCAAATCTCGCTGGACATCATGAAAAGGTGGGAGCTTCATGTCTACCAACCACTTTGGAGGGGGCTCCCTATCAAAAATCCATAGCCAAACGATTCATCAAATATTCTAGGGGTTGATTCCAACAATTCTTTTCGACCGCTCTCAGAAACAAGTCGTGTTGACTGGGTTTCTTGAGGTTTTCTAGAAAGATTCGGATAGAATGGAAATGGAAGGTACCCCAAGAAAAAGGACTTCCATTTGCTTAAGCCCCCGGAATTGTGCTTTTTTTAAAGAAAGTCCAGTAGTGATAGATTCTGCTTAAAACCAACGAGGGAAAATAAAAAATGTTCATTTCAGCAAATGGAAGATGAGGCGCTGCCCTTGCTTGGTTCCACTCCACCGCCGCTGGTCAGCCTCACTCCCGGGGGCTCTGCAGCTAGAGCGGCTTCGTAGGGCATACCTGGCAGCAGCCATGCAGCAAAAGCTGGGCGTGTCAATTCGTTGAGCGACCGCCCAAAATTGGCTGGTTTGTCCCGTTCGAGCCCACCAAAAAAGGGGGTCCCCCAAGAAAAGCACACCCATATGTGTGGCCCCAACAAAGCACGGGAGTCCGGTGTGGTTCTCTCATTTTTGAGGCCACCCTCTTTGGGGAGTGGTTCAAAGGGAAACCAAAAACCGACCAGTTTGAGGGTCCCCTCATTTTGAATCAGACGCTCCTGTTGCTCTGCTTTTTGGTCAGGGAGCTCTAAACAAGAAAAAAACGGCTCTCCATCGTCAATACCTCTTTTTTGGTCAGGGGTTGACATATACCTGCTTCTTTTCTGGACAGGGGTTGAGACCTTACCCTTAACACGCTTGACAAAAGTTGGTACTTGGAGCAGGGCACTGTACTCAACAAAACCGAATCCAGATCCAAACAAGGATAGGGCGTCATGCTTTTGGTTCAAAGGGGATCCACATGTAAGCCTGGAAAGTGGAATCGAATCCGCTGGGTCTCCAGAGTTTCATGGAGTTGCAACGTGGAAAGCAGCTGAATTTTTCCCATCCCATCCCAAGCATCAGGCTCTAAGGCCTTCCCTGGGAGGTAGGGGCCGTAGGGTGACCGGTCGGTGGGTCTTGCCTGAACTGTGGGATGCCATCTGCCAGCTGGCCGATGATGATCTGGCGCAATCAGCAGCTTCCATCGAATGGATCAAGCACGCTATGCAGAGAAATCCACTCATGCAAGGCGCATTAGCGGAAACTTGAATGGGGTTGTAGTGGATTTTAAAACCTATCTAAGGCATGATCAGAAGATAACAGTGTGGAACAAGTTGTTTTGGCCCCCTATGCGTTACTCTGTTTCCAACAAGCCAGAAAGAGGACAGGAGGGGATTGGAAGACTACCATCCTCGTACAAGCACAAGCTTCCCAGCAAAAGCCAGGGGTTCAAATCCCCAAACCACCAATCCAACCCTCCAACCAAGAGGAGGCTGAATAGAGGTCTATCCCTACTGCTGAAACAAATCAACCTCCAGACTAATTAGCCGGGCACGAGCTCTTGAATCCAACCCCCTCCCAACATTGTTTTCAGGATATGATGTCAAATGATGTCAGCCCCTGACCGAAAACAGCCGGCTCTAACCATGGAACACCGAGTGATTCGAGCGGGTTCTTGGAGTAGCCGTTCCACTCTCCAAATTCCCAATGTAGAGGGACGAGCCTGGAACATGTCCAGAAAACAAAACGAAGCACCAAACAAACGCAGCCAAACCAGAAGGTTCTGCAAGAAAAACCCAAACCGGCAATCATGACATGGAGTGTTTCTTTAATCAGGAATCCAAGACATGTATTTTTTGGTGTTGGCGTTGCCTGTCTTTGTGGCTGAGAGTCACCGTGCCTCAAACCCACATTCCTGCAGCTCCGTTAAAAACAAACAGAACCAAGAAAGCAAACAACTCAAGATACATGCATTCCGCCATTCTGGGGCAGGCAATTCTGGTTCTGGTTGCTCGAGCGGGACTTTTTCCAGTGAACGCAGCAGTCGTGCTCCCCTGGTAGGACAAAAATTACCCACTCGACCGAAAGCAAAAAAGAAATAGCCGAACTCTATTTGGCCTCGTCGCCGGTCCAAGCCGCCAACCGCACAGGGCAATCTGGGCATGGGAAGAACCCGTGAAATCTCCAGCTACCCGAACTTTTTCGGGTATATATTTGAAAAGCACGTACATATTGTCTTCAAAATGGACTCCAATTGAAAATACGTAAGTAGGGTTGACATATCCCCTCCCCCCGCAGAAAAGAGGAGGTATTGGGACGAGGAAGCGGCCAAGAAATGAAACAAAGCGGAGAAGTCCAACCTCAATTCACGGGCTCCATTAAATCGACGTCCTCAACGTGTGCCTCACGGTGGTTGAAAGGGACTGCACCCCTCGTGATTTGGCCGTGAGTCAAAATTAAACTACCAGGGGACCGCAGGTTTTAGTCCATGTTTCCTTTTACCAGGGTTCCATTTTGGGTACCTATTTTTGACCCACAGCCATTTTGAGGACCCCAAATGCAACTTGTTCAAGAAACGCAGATTCAGGACCCCACCCCACTTCAAAGGATTCATCGGTGAGCTCGTGTCAACCAGAGCCACACATTCATCTGAATCCTTCTCTCGCCAAAGCAACAGGAATCTCTTGTTTCAGGGTACATTGGCAGGGCCAAATTCGGGTGTCGCAGGAAAGGGGTACCCTGCAAAAGGACAAACTCACGCTTGCGATTGAAACATTCAAATCGCGAAAGCGCAGCTCTGGGTGTCACGTCCCTTTAGACACCAGTTGCATGCAAAGATGTCCTCATTACTCTATGACTCCCGGGCTGCAGAGGGAAAGCAAAGGAAAAATGGTTGCGTCTCTTGAGGCTGTGATTCCCTGTAGGTGGTTGGCCCGGCTTGGAGACATTTCGCCGCTGCAAGAGCCAGGGGTTCAAATCCTCATCCCCCAAACCCACCCCCACAAACGCTCCAAAATTGTCTATTTGGGTATGGGTTAAAATTAAACCACAAGGGCACCGCATGTGTTGCGTACCTATTTTGGACTCACAGCCATTTCATTCTTTCCCAAGGGGGTGTGTTTGGAGGGGGGTGGTGTTTCGGGGGTTCCTTTCAGGTGTGACAGTTCCAAACCACCAAAGGTGTACCTGAACTTACGGTCCCTCGACCTAGAGATTCCCCAAGCCGCAAGAAAATGGTGGTCCCTTAAGTGTCCCTTTTTTTCCCCAGTTGAAGGGTACCCACGAAAAAAAAAAAGGAAAACACCCGTGGAAACTTGAAATTGTGGTTGAGCAAAGCCCCCCTCGAGCAATCCTAAGGCACAAAGTGTTCATGGAATTACATCATTCGGGCGGATGCTCTTATGGTTGGGCATTGTCGCAGGCGGAGCCAGGTTTGTAGGATTTCTGTGCGAGGAGGGGAGGGGGGGGGAGGGCTATCCATTTGATATCTGTTTCCAAGGAAAACCAGACGACCAAGGCTCAAGTCCCCAATTGACTAATAAAAACGCCACACAAAAAACGGGTGCCGGCTTTCCGGTTGGCTTCCCTTTGAACCACCCCGCACACACCCACCCTCGGCCTCGGCAAAGACTCTGGGAGGCCCACAAGCGCCACCTCACCGCGGGGACACTGGAAGACTTGGGTGGTCAAACCACTTAAGTTGGTTGGAACAGAAAGAGAACCCACCCATTTTGGGGGGGCTTCACCGATTTTGACACAGGAGTAGTCTATAACCATGGTTCTAAGCTGACCCACCCCAGTCACCCCCCCCACTTGACTTGTATTCATTGTTAGCTAATCTACTAAGTTGGTTGAGCGTCCGAGCAGCGGCTTCCCGCCGCAGATCACCAAGCGACGTTTTGGAGGAAGCTCCTTTTGGGAAACGCACCCCCTCGTTGGGATCCATGATTCGGGGAGCGCTAGCTGCAGGGTATATCTTCAAAGAACCAGTTTGACATCATCCCCACCCAAGATAACAGTCTTTGAGTGGGGGGGTGTGAAAAGCCCGAGCGAGGGGCTCTCATACCCTTGAAGCAAACATGCACACCCATTACAACTAATTCAGAAACGCCCTGTAAGGAAAGATGTCTCTCTTCCGGCCGCGCGATTTGGAAAAATAAAGCTTTTCCTCGGTGTTGGCACTCACGCAGCGGTGTCAGCGTAGGCGCCGCCTTTCTGCACCATGCAGTGAGCCTGGCGTAAGCGGGCAACTCCGCCTACACAGAAAGGCCGGCTAGCGCGGATCCCGCCATACTGCGAGGCAGTCCAGATGACTGCGCATTGGCTTACCAAGCTGCCCCGACTGTAGAAGCCCACAGGCGGGATCCAAACTTCGTTCCAGTTGCTGAAGTCCTCATTCGGCAACGGAGTGTCCTCCCACTTGGACGGGCAAAGGAGCTCCTCATCACGCAGGATATTGATTACCGCGCGGACAACGATTACATGCGTCTCTGTTTTCCCGCCCCCCCCCCCCCCCACCCACCCCCTTTCAAGATGGTGACCTTCGCCCCCGACTGGATTCCCTTGGCTCACAGAAAGCCGCAACCTGAAACTTGCAGTTCCCTGGGTAAGGGAATTTGCCGGGGGGAGGGTCCTATGGAGGTGGGGAAGAACGCATCATCTCTGACGGCTACTAGAGGAAGCCTTAGGAATTTACCACGTTTCCGGGCCCAAAAACGAGATGAGGGATGCCCTGTGACACGGTACCCCACATTGGCGGGTGGCTGACATGCCTCAAAATGTCCTTCCACCCTCCAAAGAACGGGCAAGATCATGGCCTCAGTTGTTCAGTGACCCTGGAAAAAAAGGGAACCCTTTTTGGGGCTTGGACCATTTTTGTGGGGCAGTCACAAAAAAAAAGGAAAAATAATTGGTGCCACTGAACAACTGAGTGGCAATAACCCTCAAGCTGCCTTCAAATTGCCAAGGGTTCTGCTGGGTACCGGGCTCAGGAGCCGCCCAGCCTGCCGAACACCGGCCAAGCTGAACTCTCTTTGGTGCTGCTGGCCAAAAAAACGGGGCCGTTCCATGTCGCGCAAGGCATCAGAATCAGAATGAAGTTTCATGGGTCCCAGACCCTTTGGTGGACGTGGTGGGGATTCATGTCCACCAGCCACCCTTGAGGTGGTTTTCCTATGAAAACAACATGTTTTTTGAAGGGTACAGTTTTGGGGTTGTTTTGAAGGGAAGCCAAAAGGAACCGCAGTTTTGGGGGTCCAAATCAGAAATCCTCCCACCACCTCGGTCGTGTTTAAAGGGGAAACCTTAGGGAACACCACCAGTTGGGAGGCGGGGGGGGGGGGGGGCTATTTTCAAGTGAGGAACCAAAGGCCCCCAAAGCCACAGGATGGCTCGAAAGGAACCAGACGAGTTTCTGATCGACAGGTTCTCAGGTTTCTGGGGATGGGATGGGATGGGATGGGTCCTAATGTCTCGACGTAGCTTGAGCTAGCAGCTGAGGTGTCGCTTGCTATGCTGAGTCTCAAGCCTGGCGACTCCTCTCGAGCATCCAGCGCCTCACATGCGCTGAAAATGTGTGCGAGGCCACTTGGGTATCGACGTGTCCAAATACCTCCATTCGCCCAAGTCCGCTGGCAAAAACAAAAAATGAAATAATTCCAGTAGTGATAGATTATCTTTAAAACCAACAGGTAAAAAAAGAAAACTTCACCAAATGGAAGAATAGAAATGCATTTCCAAACCTTGGTGTGGCGCAAGTTGCTGATTTCTCCCCAACGGCCTCTGCCCAAATAAGCTCCGGAGTGGTTCAGGGCATCCCTGAAAGGTTCCGGAGGGTTCCGGGGGTTCCGAGGCTTCCGGGGATGTCACCTGGGCGTTTTTTTCGCAATGAAGCGAACCTCACAACTCGAACACGGACAAATGCACAGAGCGGAGGATCTGGCCCCCCCCAACAAAAGGAGGTGTTCCAATCTGAGAAGCGCAACCTCAAAACACACATATTATTTGCAAGAGGTGATCCACTTGTACTTCAGAATATATGTCCTGCAAAAAGTGTCGGGCATTTCGGTGGTTGAAGGAAAAATATGCGAAAACAGAGAAGGGAGAAATGTAAAAAGGTGAGCTAAGTGTGGCACTGGTTAACTGCTTTGTCAGCTCGAACCTCAGATCAGTTTCATGTCCTTGCTGGCTTCAGTTGGGTGGAACTTTGACATAAACGGTATGTGTTTCTGTGGCAGGTATTTGCGTGCCAAAATGTGTGTTTTCACTTGTCTGCGTTTAAAACAAGCTGGAAAGGGATTCAACAAATAGGAACCTAAGTGGTTTGATCAACCGGGAGGCAGGCGCCGGTGCGAGTCCTGGGGTTCCTTCATGCATCCAACCTCCAGCTCAAAGGGAAGAAAAACCGGACCAATTTTTGCCCCAGTCGTGCTGCTTTGCGGAAAAGATGAGGCCAAGAATGAACTTTTCCTTTTGAGGGACCCCCATTTGGGCTGGCTTCCTTTTGGCTCACCTGAAACCACCCCAAAAAGGGTGGCCTCAAGAAAAGACACTCCGATATGGGTCTGTTGTTTTTTGAGGGTACGCTTTCTGTGGTAAACGGAAACCAAAAGGAGAATCACCATCTGAGAAAGCTCAAGACCGCTGCTCATTCTTGGCATTCCCCAAAAACATGACACCCCCATCTCTTTTAGCGGGCCCTGTCCAAGGAAAAAGCAGATGGCAAGGACCTGAAAACATATCTCCCAAGCCCGCACAGCTCGCGGCCGATGATTTTCTGTTGGACTTTAGATGAGAACCAACTGAAAGAGATGAAAACGGAACATGCGTCACTGAAGAACTGAAAGAAAGACGCCAGCCAAAGGGGACACACTGGAAACCAAAAGTCTGAGTCGTGCGTTCCTGCCCCTCATGGTTTCCCAGAACTTCATGTCGGTCTTTGGGAACGAAAAGTGAGATGCTAAAGCCACAAGCCATTTACTTTGTAGTCATGGTTCTCTATTTGGATACCCTGTTGGACCTGATTAAAGGGAAACCAAAAGGACGGCCGAAGCCATTTGGCTGTGAGGTATGAGTCAAAAATAAACCACCAGGAAAAAAATCACGGGGGGAGAAAAAAAAAAACAAATAGGCAGGTGTTCTTTGTCTACATAAACACACACAAACAACAAAAAGGGGGGGGGGGGAAGAACAGACCCATGTTGGGCACCGGTTATAAACGGTTTCTACCCGCCAAACTCTGCGCCTCGGCCTCTCCCCCGGGCCCCGCGGGCCGTGAGCCGCAGCTCTCCCTCCGCGAGCTCCCCGTGGAGCTCCCGGAAGCGATTGCTCACCAGCCTCGGAGACGCGCGCGCGGGGGGTCTTTGCCTCGGGGGGCTCTGGAGGCGTTCAAAAAGGGGAAGAAGGGAAACCCGACAAAAACGAGAAAAGAAGAACGCGGAGAAAATGGCAAAGGGGAAACCAAAAGGGAGGAAAACTCAAAACTAAAAAACGGAAAGAACACAAACGAAAATGGTAAAGAGGAAAACTGAAAAGGGAAACAAGGAAAGCAGACAATATGGTAAAGGGAAACCAACAGGAGGAAAACTTAAGAAAGCCGGAAAAAAACCAAAAGGAAAGGGTAAGGGGAAACCAAAAAGGAGGAAAGCCCTTGCTTGCGCCATTTGGACCACCATTTTCCTGGCCTGAGGGAAGAAGGAAACCCGGAGCCACGAAGAGGTGTGGAAAGTGATTGGCAACCTGTGAAGAATTCTGGAAATGGGTTAGCGAAATTTGGACTTTCGCAATCTTGGGTCTAAAGCAGACACACACACACCCAAAACAAGTGGACGCAGAGACCCTTTGAAGCAGCAAGGTTGCTTAATTTGGCCTGCACGTGCTGGCGGCGGGCGACGGGCTGCGGCGTGTAAAACACCCTGCCGATGCAATCCCCTAAGCCTGGTTCTTGAAAATATATTTTGTTGGTCAGGTTCAAGTTCCGTGTTAAACCATGGTTTAAAGACTAATGGGTTGAACGTCCTCCTGATGCATTTTGGTTGAAAGATCAGGTAGTTGTGATTCGATTTTGCAACCAAGCCTGTGCCTACACCCAGAACCTCCACTCCCAGGCTGGATTCTCGCGGAACCCACCCCGCAAACTGTTTGAGGTGGACGTGAACCCCATCTTGGCCGATATGCACTGGGGTACGCAAAGAATCATGTTGTCTGAGTGTGCTTCATATCGGTCTACCCCAACATCCAAACAGCTTTCAAAAGAGGAAAACCTTGGTTGCCGTTGACCCCTCTGCAAACAGTTTGACTTTTTGTGGGTTTAGTGGAAAACCATTGATTTTTTTCTTTAAAAAAAAAGGCACAAACACACGATCGGCTCGACCCTTTTCCCCGGAACTTTCTCGCGCCGCTCACGCTAGCAAGAGCGCTCAGTTTGGGACCGGCAGTCCTGGAGAAAGCGCCGGACATGGCTACACATTGCCAAGATGGGCCAAATACTTCTAGAATGAGGGTGGGTGAGGCGTGAAGGGGGGTGTGAAAGCGGGGGTGTGAAAGGGGGGGTGTGAAAGGGGGTGTGTGAAAGGGGGGGTGTGAAAGGGGGGGTGTGAAAGGGGGGGTGGGGGTGAAGGGGGGAATGAAGTCACCGTGGAAGAAATCAAGAAATGTTGACCCATGGTTTTCAACCCCTGTTTATCTATAATGGGGGTGCTCCAAAAAGTGGTCTGAACCCCGCCTAAAACCAGGTTGACTCCCCACTAAAACCAGGGTTTATTGATCTGGGGTCAATATTAATCATTCAGCCCCTTTGTTGGCAACCTAACATACACAAACCACTTAACCATGGCTTTGGGCTGTGACCAGCAAGCGTTGCTCCAAAGCCAACGAAACCCGTATTATTCAAGCCCAGTTCAGTAATAGGGGGAGTCAACCTAGTTGGAACTCACATGTTGTGAAGCTCTCTTCGAACTTCTGTTCACCCAGCTGTGGTTTTCGTAGCCGTGCAAGGTGCCCAATGCTTCTTGTACCAAGAAGTATGGGGTACCTGGCATGGATCAGTCGCCATGACTCGAAACCGATTGACTTGCATGCTTTGTCTGCATATTGTAGATGCTTATCCATCGCATGTGCTCACCAAGAGGTAGTGTACGTTGTTGCTCATTGTGTCCAATGCTCTGCCATTTGTTTTGAAGGTGCTGCGTTCTCCAGTTGGTCGTTTGTAACTTGTCCTACTGATTGCTCTGACTGTCTCAGCAGTCTGTTGTATGCTTGGTCTTGCAGTCCCAAGTATGCTGTCATCTTGTATTTCCACTCCTCGAAGGTGTTGTATTGTCCTGTGAACCGTGGTGGTGATATCTTGTACTTGTGGATTCCTTCCAGCTGCTGCTCCTGTTACCTGAACCTGTGGGTGCGTGTTGGAGCTCACCCTGGGTAGTGGTCGAGGATCGTGTACCAGGGAGCACTGCTCCGCTACCATGTTAAAGTGGGACTGACTGTGTAATCACCTAACAACCTGAATGTGTACAAACCTTCAGCGCGGCACTTGTTGTCTCCAGGCAATGGGCTGTAGTCTATCTGTAGGCTCGAGGCCTTGTTGTACAAAGGAGCAGTGCCATGTACAAGATGGATGTATATCAACAATATGTCGTGCATCTGCTGCTGTCTTGGACCGCGGTGTCTGTGTCTCTGTGTCTGCGTGTATCTGGTCTGTCGCCTACTGTGTGTCTCTCTGGTTCTTTGCGATGCTTTTCGCGAGTCGGTTTTTGTCTGTGTCTTTGTGCTTGGAACTTGGGAAAAGCGGGAAGGTTGGAGGGTGCCGGCGAAAACCTGTTGGTCTCCCGAACCAAAACCATACCAAGGCCGTACCGCTCTGTCACTTCGGCTGGATTCCCATATGGCTGGTCAAAACCCAGCAAACCCCTGGTGAACAAATCAGGCGGCAAATGGGTGGTCCACCCCAAAATGGAGCCATAGGTTATGCCCCATGGCCATATCCCAAGTGGTCCTAAAGCATCACGTGCCCTGCCCCTGCCTCGAATAATGAGCAAATCCATGTCTTGAGCCTTGGCTCGGATCCAAACGCATGCCATCATGGTTTTGACCTCAATCTCCAGATACAGGTACCCTGAGTTGTCATCCCCTGACTCAGCAAGGCGGTAGGTGGCATCACAAACCAGGTTTTTCGAAAAGAATGTAACAATGGATCGCCGGCACTGGTATGGTGCATGAGCATGGTGCCCCTAGGTCCACGACCATCTTTGCTGTGGATGCAGAAATCCACTTCGTGCCAGGTGGGGTTGGTGGTTGAACCAGTGTTCATAGGGTGTCATCCAGCTGGGTTTTTTGCACCCACGGCGCTAATTCTACACAACAAAAGGGTGTTTGCCCCAGGCACTGATGGGTATTGGCAATCTAACTTTTCTCACCCCCACCTTAAAGGTCAGTGTCCCCAACTAGATGCTATCACCAGAAAAGGACAGCAGAACTCCTGGGAGTATGCCGATTGGGGAATAGAAAGAACTGCAGCTTCGCTGTGCCGCGGTTCCATGTGTCGGTACCAAAAATCAACCCGAAGGATATGACTCAGCTGTTGTCCTCAAGAATTTGGCTTCCCTCGTTGTTTGGTGGTTTGGAGCCGTGTTTTTGTCATTTATTTTCCAATTTTTTTTCCTCGGAGGGGTTTCCCACGTACCTTCTGCAAGAACCAGGGCTTCAAATCCCAAACCACCAATCCAAACCACCAATTAGAGGGAGTCCGAATAACGGTTGATTTCTTCCGGACTCGGGGGCAAGTCCGCGTTGCGTCAACAGGGCTCAGGACCCCTGTTAAGTGACAGAGCCCCGGCGTTTCCCTTTCAAAGGTGTCCCCCCCAATTGAACTCCATCACCAAAAAAAACAGGGTGATCAATGACACCCAAAGGACCTTTCTTGAGCATGTCATTGCTTACCCTCGGGCTAAGTTGAAACCTCCCAGGCGAACGGATCGTCCTGCATGGATCCTGGGAACACTTCAGACACACTTGTTTCATTTCAATCCCTGACTAAAAGCAGTTGAATTCACCGCCCGTGCTGTTCTTGTTTTTGCTAAATCCACCCTCAGAAAAGAACAACCTTGGCATTCTTCGAGTAGGGCTTCCAACGAAGGCTGTGCTCCTCTTCGAGCTCGAACTAAACGGGAATCGGCGTCTGGGATGTATTGGGGGCAAACCTTTTGGACCCTGGCAAACGGAATAACACCCATCTAAGCCAGTGCCATCGATTTCTCAAACTAAGCTGAAAAGGGCACCACTATGATGCCAATCTCCTGCCCTTGAAATCCGATGGAACAACAAAACCTCCTGACCTCATTTCTAAACCAAACCACCGATCCCCATGTCTAGAGCAAACCAAATGAGTTCAAGCCTGTTGCAAAGATGTCAACCGGCAGTGTTCAACCCGTCAGATTCAGCAAAGTCATCCGAATTACCGCTTCATGGGACACCCCCATCTAATGCCGTCCAAGACACATGCTGGACCTGGCACGAAAAGCAGCATGTGTTTGTTTGTTTTTTTGGGGGAAGGGGTGCATGATGTCATATTTGATGTCATCGCCTGGCTGAAATTGGTAAAGGAACACTTGATTCTTCAGAATATACCAACTGAAAAACGGCCGGGCATTTAGAGTCTGTACCTCCATTTGATTTTTCGCCCCCGGGTGGGTTTCCTTGTGGTCTCCCTTTGAAACCCCCAAAAAAAGGCAAAAGGTACCAACTCCCAAAAAAAGACGAGCCACTCGTAAATCCTAAGGTCCTCCAGTAGAGAGGATAGAATAAGAGTACCAACTTTTGTCTGTAGTCTGCTTTAGGCGGGGAACCCTCCCCCACACAAAGTTGGTAAACGGGCATCACTGGGGGACCTAGAAAAGGTAGCAGCTCCCAAAAAAGACGAGCCACTCATAAGTCTGTTTCAGCCCATGGCCACGGTTCCGACGGACTTGCCTCGTGGCCCTGTGGCTCAAAGTCGTGGCACCCGTTGATGCCCGCGACCACGTCCTCGGATCGGATTCGGATTGGAGCGGTGGAACTCCAAATTGGCAGATGGGCTCGTAGTTGGTTGGGAGTCGTGTTTTTTTTTCCTGGCGGTTTTTATTTTTCAGGGACGAAGGAACACCGACATGTTTCGTGCTTCGTTCTTTTCTTTTTGTGGTGGGGGGGCGGGGGGCGGGGCGATTCCTAAAGAAGCGACGCACCCGCATAAACCAAAAAGCAAAACAAAAAAAATCAAACAGTGAAAGCTGTGAGCTTTCTGGCAATTGGTCGCTGCCAGGGCGCATCAATGTGGATCTGCCAGTCCGGCATGCCGCTCGCTG